AGAGAGAGAGAGAGTAGCAGGAGGGGGGTTAGGAGTATAAAACACGTGGCAGAACCAGACGGGCAGATCGGGCGGGTAGACCCTAACGGGCGGGTCGGACAGGCGGGCCATTTGGCCAGGTCGAGCAGGCGGGTTGCTGACGCGTGCGTCTTGCATGAACCGTGAGGAAGTCTCAAGCGATAGCGCGGTTCCCAAGTAAATCGTGATGGAATCCACAGCGAGAGCGTGATTCTTGAGTGTCCAGGGCGCGGCGTCTGAATAAATTGCGAGGCGGTCCCACGCGAGAGCACGATTCCTGTGCAAAGTATGAGGAAGTTCCGCGCGAGAGCGCGATTTGGGAATAATCTGTGAGGAAGTCTACGACGGGATTCCCTGTTGTTGCAAACCGCGGGCCAGGGGCACAGTTTGGTGACACCTTAGTGACAGGAGTCCCGGGAGAAGCACTGCAATTGAAAGAATAGAATGGTTACCAGGAAGTCTGGATTAACAACACTTCTTCTGCGGAAGTGAGAACTCAACATCAACATCAAGAATCGTTTGAAGTTGTTCACTCATATTTGCTAGCCACCCTCTTCGTCTTCGATCGTTTCCCCTTTGGTTTATATATCTTTCTTACCGGCCATATGTATTTGGCGCAGTCCCTCAAACAGGGGAAGAGAGGACAGATGGAAGAAGAGGGGAGAAGGATGAAGCACGAGAGAGACTAGCAAGGTAGGGCCTAGGAGCAGAAAACACGTGGCAGAACCAGACCGGCTGATTTTGCGGGCTGACCGGGCGTGTCGGGAAAGCGGGCCCAGGCGGCCAGGTCGAGCAGGCGGGTTGCTGAAGCGCGCCTCCTGCACGAATCGCGAGGAACTCTCGAGCGATAGCGCGATTCCCAAGTAAATCGTGAGAAAGGCCAAAGCGCGAGCATGATTCCTGAGTGCCACGGGCGCGGCGCCTAAATAGATTGTGGGAGGTCCCACGCGAGAGCGCGAATCTTGCAAAAATGGTGCTGCGCGAGAGCGCGATTTTGGAGTAAATTGTGCGGAAATATCCGACGGGAGCCCTTGTTGTTGTAAACCGCGGGCCAAGGGCACAGTTTGGTGACATCTAAAATGTTTTGTTGTAAAAACCAGATACGAGTCCCGGGAGATGCATTTTAATTGAAAAAAGAATGGTTACCAGGAAGGTGGGACCAACAACACGTATTCATGAATGAGAACTCAACATCAACATCAATACTCGTTTTAAGTTGTTCGTTCATATCTGTTTGCGTGCCATTCAACGCGTACATCCCAAACCCTCAGTACCCGCACTTTTCGTCTTCGATCGTTCACCCTTGGGTGTATATATCCTTCTTACCAGCCACACGTACTTGGCGCATCCCCTCAAACAGGGGAAGAGCGGACGGACAGAAGAAGGAGGGAGAAGCATGAAGCACGAGAGGGATCAGCAGGACGGCCTAGGAGCAGAAAACACATGCCAGAACCAGACCGGCTGATTTTGCGGGCTGACCCTAGCGGGTGTGTCGGGAAAGCGGGCCCTGGCGGCCAGGTCGAGCAGGCGGGTTGTTGAAGCGATCCTCCTGCATGAATCGCGAGGAGATCTCGCTCGATAGCGCGATTCCCACGTAAGTCGTGAAAAAAGCCAAAGCGCGAGCATGATTCCTGACTGAGTGTCGAGGGCGCGGCGCCTGAATAGGTTGCGGGAAGTCCCATGCGAGTGCGCGAGTCTTGCAAAAATTGTGCCGCCGAGAGCGCGATATTGGAGTAAACTGTAAGGAAATATCCGACGGCAGCCGTTATTATTCTACTTCGGGGGCCAGGGGCCCAGTTTGAGCTTCAAGATTTTCTTTGATACAGGGTGCGAGCCCCGGGAGGGGTACTCCAATGAGAAAAATACCATGTGCGCCGGAGGGGGGATCAACAATAATTATTCGTCAGAAGTGAGAACAACAGCAACCACAGCAACATCAACAATCATTTCAAGATTGTTCGCTCTTAGTGGCACGCGTGTCTTGCATTCCGTATACCCCAACCCTCGATGCCCGCCCACTTCGTCTTCGATTGCACCCCCATTCGGGGGGAATCTCTTCCTTGTCGGCCACTGACTGAAGTGCGAGGAAGTCTCGAGCGAGAGCGCCGTTCCTGAGTTCGGGGGCCTCTCTGGCCAGGGTCCCTCCCTCGGAAAGCCGATGGAGAAATATCGAAAGAAGAACCCTTGTCGCCGTGTCTGGGCCTCCACCAACTTGCCTGCATTACGAACGAGTCTCGAGCGCCGTTCATGAGTTCGGGGGCCTTCTTGGCCAGGGACCCTTGAAGGAAATCGCGAGGAAGCATCGAGCAGGAGCCCTTGTCGTCGTGGCTGGGACTCCGCCAACTTGATTGAATTGCGAGGAAATCTCGAGCGAGAGCGCCGTTCCCGAGTTCGGGGGTCTCTCTGGCCAGGGTGTTTCGGGGTAAGATGTGAGGAAGTATCGAGCGGGAGCCGTTGTCGTCGTAGCTGGGCCTCCAAGGGTCCACATTTAGGCTCAAGCCAACGCTCGAGCGGGAGCTCCGTTTTCATAGAAAATGTAGCAGGTGTCGAGGCGATAGCGCGCGGAACCGTTTTCGGATACCAACAGTAGAGTCATTCAACGCGCATTTCCCAAACCCTCGATACCCGCAATTTTCGTTTTCAATCGTACCCCTTGTGGGGGGTATATTTTTCTTCCCTGCAGGCCGGACCCCAGCAAGCGGCGGGGCGGCCGCGGACTTTCGGCCTGGCCAGCGGCAGCGCTGATCGTCGGCAACCTGACCCCAAGAGGGACTGACAAGGGACCGACGACGACGACGACGACGACGACGACGACGAGCGCAAGCGAGAGCGAGGGCGACAGCGGGGCCACGAAGGGCAGGAAGGGGGCAATGAGTGGCGACAGCGGGGCCACGAAGGGCATGCATATGGGGCCACAACGGGTGCGAACGAGCGGGGGCCACGAAGGGCAGATAGTGCGGGGCCACAGATGGCAACGACGGGGCCACTGAGGGTTGCAACGGGGCCACGTAGGGCAGCGAGGGGGCCATAAAGGGCGACAGCGGGGCCGCGAACGGCATGCACATGGGGCCACGACGGGCGCGAACGAGCGGGGGCCATGATGGGCATACGTACATCGGACCGCAGAGGGTAAGGACTGGGCCACTGAGGGTAGCAACGGGGCCACGAAGGGCAGCGATGGGGGCCACGAGTGGCGACAGCGGGGCCACGAAGCGCATGCATATGGGGCCACGACGGGCGCGAACGAGCGGGAGCCACGAAGGGCATACATATATGGGGCCACGAAGGGCTGCGAGGGGGCCACGAAGGGCAGCAACGGAGCCACGAAGGGCAGCGAGGGGACCACGAAGGGCTTCAACGGGGCCACGAATGGCAGCGAGGAGTCCACGAAAGGCTGCAAAGGGACCATGAAAGGCAGCGAGGGGGCCGCGAAGGGCTGCAACGAGGCCACCATGGGCAGCGAGGGGGCCACGAAGGGCTGCAACGGGGCCACGAAGGGCAGCGAGGGGGCCACGACGGGCAGCAACGGAGCCACGAAGGGCAGCGAGGGGGCCACGAAGGGCTTCAACGGGGCCACGAAAGGCAGCGAGGGGGCCGCGAAGGGCTGCCAAGGGACCGCGAAAGGCAGCGAGGGAGCCACGAAGGGCTGCCACGAAGGGCAGCGAGGGGGCCACGAAGGGCTGCAACGGGGCCACGAAGGGCAGCGAGGGGGCCACGAAGGGCAGCAACGGAGCCACGAAGGGCAGCGAGGGGGCCACGAAGGGCTTCAACGGGGCCACGAAAGGCAGCGAGGGGGCCGCGAAGGGCTGCCAAGGGACCGCGAAAGGCAGCGAGGGGGCCACGAAGGGCAGCGAGGGGGCCACGAAGGGCAGCAACGGGGCCACGAAGGGCTGCAACGGGGCCACGGAGGGCAGCGAGGGGGCCACGAAGGGCTTCAACGGGGCCACGAAGGGCAGCGAGGGGGCCACGAAGGGTTGCAAAGGGACCACGAAAGACAGCGAGGGGGGCCACGAAGGGTTGTTACGAGTCCACTACGAGCAGCGAGGGGCCACAAAGGGCTGCAACGGGGCCACGAATGGCAGCGAGATCCCGATTCCCAAGTATGATGTGAGGGGGTCCGAAGCGTGAGCGCGACTCCTGGGTGCCTGAGTGTCGGGCGGCGCTTGCGTAAATTGCGGGGACCTCCAACGCAAGATCGCGATTCTTGAGTAAATTGCAAGCAAGTCTCCAGCGAGAGAGCGCCGACAGAACGACTCCTTCATAAATTGTAAGGAAGTCCCGAGCGAGAGCGCGACTCCTGAGTAAAATGAAAGGAATTCTCAGGCGGGAGCGGGGGCCCTGGCTGAATCGTGAGGAACTCTCAGGCGGGAGCCGTTGTTGTTGTAACCTGGGGGCCAGGGGCACAGTTCGAGCCTGGTGGCTTTCCTTGATAATAAAGCAGGGTGCGAGCCACGGGGGGAGCATTTCAATTGAAAAACACAATGGTCACCGGAAGGGAAGGATCAACTATACTTATTTTTAAGCCATGAGAGTTCAACAAACATTGTACGACCGTTCGCGTTTATCTGCTCGCGTGCCAGTAAACGAGCGTCTGAATGAATTGCGAGGAAGACCCACGCGAGAGCGCGATTCTTGCATAATTTGTAAGGAAATGTTGCGCGACAGCGCGATGTCGGAATACATTGCGAGGAAGTATCTGGCGGGAGCCGTTATTGCTGCAAGTCGAAGGCAAACAATGCAGTCTGAGCCCCAATATTTCTTCTGCAAAAAACCGGGTGCGAGCCCCGGGAGGAGCAGTTCAATTGAAAATCAACGGGCGGCGGAAAGAGAGGATCCATAACAGCTCATTGTTTTTTGAATTCAAGATTCAACAAAAGTAATAAACCAAACCGCACACATCAAAACAAAACAACATACAAAAACAAACATAAATATACACACACACATACAAAACAACAGCAAAAAAACGCCCGCCGCGCCAGGCGGCCAGCCCAGGTCCGCGCCGGCGGCGGCGCAGCCCCAAGGCGGGAGCCGCGGCCGCCCCGCGGCCGACCGGTCGGTGTCACCGATGGCGTCCCGCAAGGCGCCCTCCGCGCCGCCGCCGCTGTCGCCCGCCGCCGCCACGCCCTCGTCGCCGCCGCGCCTTCGCCGCCGCTCTCGCCGCCGCCGCCGCCGCCACGCGGGGCGGTCGACGTTCTGGTGGAAGACGTGGCGACGTGTATGTGTTCCTTGGTGCGGCTTCCAATGGCAGTTTTCTCGGGGGCGGCCGTTTCAACGGGTTCGACGCTTGAGGTTTTCGGGAGTTTTCGTCGGTTGTTGGAGGTGTCCTCGCATCGGGATGCGTTCCAGCAGCTGCTCCTCGTCAAGAGCTTTCCTGAGGTGTTTGGATCGTTCCGAACGGCCGCCAAGGGCCCGAGTTGTGGGCCGAAAACCACGAGGCGTCGGAGAGGGGGGTGGTGCTTGGGGGTGTGTGGATATCATGGCGAGTGCCAGGATATCTCCCTGGATTTCACGGCCATTCCTTTTTTATTATTATTCTTATTGATCTGAGCAGTGGCACGATTAGTATTATTGTCCGTGAGAGTGTTAGGATTAGAAATCTTATTCCCATTGCGCCACACCATTTGCATCGCATACACTGCACGGCATATATTGCACCACGTAGATTGCTAGAAGCACACTGTCTGGGGTCCACGCTGACTCGCATAAGAGGAACGCTACGAATACGGATAAGGAACCTTATCGCAATTATGGTACCGAAACTAATAATAATATTTCGGCGCCTTATTCGTTCTATGCGAGCCAGCGCGGACACCAAATAGTGTGTTTCTAGCAATCTACGTGGTGCATTATATGTAGTGCAGCTTATGCGGTGCAATCTGTGTGGCGCAGCGCGCGTGGTGCAACTTATGTGGTGCAATCTACGTGGGGCCAGTCACCCTGCCGGTTGTCGACTCCATCGCTCGCGCAATCACCCCACCCACCACCCGCAACTTGGCATGCAAAACCCATGCGGAGGCGATTGCGATGAGTTCTTGGTGTTGGTCGGTGCATCTCTGCGACCGCGCTAGCCCGCGCACGCTCGCGCGCGCAGCGGCCAGGTAGTTTGGCGCGACCGACGCGAACGCGGTGGCGCTGACCGCTCGGCGCATCCCAGCGGGCACTTCAGTGACTTCAGTGCGAGACGGCGACCTGGGCGGGCGCGGTATCATGGTAACGTCGACAACGGTAGACACGATGGTGATAGTAGCGACGGTGGCGACGGTGATGACAGCGACGACGGCACGGCCAGTGACGGCGCGGGTGTTGATCACGCCGACGATGATGACGGCGTCTTGGCGTCGGTGATGAAGGTTATGGACGGAGTTCGACATGCGCGCGCGGCCGACGCGCGAGAGCGGCCGCATGGTATTATTTTACACGGATCGCGCCCCCCCCCCCAGCACGCGCGCAAGGGCGTTCGAATGATTTCAGCATGCGGCGCGCGAGGCCCGCTAGGCAGAATGTACTGCCAATGTTGGGAAACCTTAGGTTTTTTTAAGATTCGCAAGAGCGCGAGCACGCAAGCTTTTTTGAAAATGGTGATTGCGAAGCCATGTGTTTTTGCTTAGTTTCGGGACACTCGATTTTGAAATCCTTGCGAAACCAAAGGTTTTTGACAGATCCCAGCATGCGCGCGCGACGGCGCCCGCGTGCGCACTTCGTCCCGCCTGTTGCAAGGGATTCTCGACAACTGCTGATTTTCGATGAACGAGTGCGCATGCATAGTTCTGTTGCAGAGGATGGCTGGGGGTATCGATACGGGTCCCCCTGGGATGGTACGAGTTCATATTGGCCACGCTCCCCGGAGGACGCGCAAGGGGCTGCCGAAGAGGGCCCCCGGAGGGGCGCTCTCGGGCCCCAGAGGGGGGCCTCCAGGGCCCGAGAGGGGCACCTTTTTTCCCCCTCCCGCATTTATCGCCCCCCCCCCCATTAATTTGCGCCCAAGCTCCATGCTTCGAAGATTAGAAATCTGGACGCTTCGCGTAACCCGACCAGCCGCTTCCGCTCCCTGTCCGTTGCCTCGGAGCCGCCGACCAAAAAAAAGTAACCCGACCAGCCCATCCAGAAACGATGCCCAAAGGAATTGTCTCGATCAGGGAAGTGGGCAGCACACAGAGGAAGGGTCCCCCAGTGGAGGCCTATTGGAGCGTCTTGGGTGCCTCGGAGAGCTTCTTGGGGCCTCTTGGGGGTCTCTTGGGAGCATCTTGGAGGCCTCTTGGGCGCCTGTTGGGGCCTCCTGGGCGCCTATTAGGGCCCTCTTGAAGCGCTCTTGGGAGCCTTGGGAGCGCTCTTGGGGCCATCTTGGAGGACATCGATCAAACAAGAAGCGAGCATTAGTTAGCGTTGCCCCTGGGGAGCCCAACAAATCGCCTCTTGGGGCGCTCTTAGGCGCTCTTGGGGCCGTCTTGGGGCTCTCTTGAGCCTTTCTCGGAGCCCTCTTGGGCCATCCTGGAGCCATCTTGAGGCCTCGGATGGCCATCGGAAGCGCAAAGGCGAGAAAGCCAAACACATAGATGATCCTAAGGTTTTGGCCTCTTCGAGGCCTCCTGGGGGAGCTCTTTGGCCACTTGGAGCCGTCTTGGAGCGGTCTTGGGGCATCTTGGAGCATCGTGGGAGCCAGTATGAGACATCTTGGGATATCTTGATCCATCTTGGAGGTCATCTTGGGCTCTCCCAGGCGCTCTGGGAGGCATCTTAATCAGTGTCCCCCCACAGAGGCCAACATGCGGCTAAAACCTCAGTAAAATCAATGATTTGGCATTCTCGCCGAGGCCTCTTGGAGCATCTTGGGTGCCTCTGGGGGGTCTCTTGGGGCCTCTTGGGGGTCTCTTGGGAGCCTCTTGGGGGCATCCTGGGGGTCTCTTGGGGCTTCCTGGCCACCTCTTGGGGCCCTCTTGGGGCACCCTTGGGGGCCATCTTTGGGCCATCTTGGGTGAGATCGATCACAGGAGGGGGGGTCACTAATTTTGGGCCTCCCCCCCTCAGGAGGCCAAAATGGGGCTAAAACCTCAGTAAAACCAATGATTTTGGCTTCCTCGCCGAGGCCGTTTTGGACGCTCCGACACCTCGCGAAACCCCTTGTCCAGGTCCAGGGGAGGGGGTAGGGGGAGGGGTAAACCCCTCCCCGAAGGGGAAGAAGGAGGGGTGGAAGAGGAAACTCCTTAAACCACCTACGCCCAGAGGGCTGGTGGGACTTGTGTGAGCGTAGCTCCCCAAGGATTTCTTGGATGGGCACTGGGCCCTGCTGGCGGCGCCTCCGGCGCCGCGCGCCAGGGAGGGGGATCCACCGCCGACCCACGAAGCACGCAAGAACCACCGAAAGTTCGTGCTTATACGTATTCCTCTCGCTTCGCGGGGTGCACGTCCGGAGCACGTACAGTCACGTCGTCGCGGAGCCTCTCGGGAGCCTCTTGGGGGCCTCCTGGAGGCCTCCTGGGAGCTTCCTTGGGCCTCTTGGGGACTTTTTGGGGGCCTCTCCCCCCTCACTCCTTTTCATACTCCCTCCCCATATTTCTTTCCAGCGCCGGCTCTAATCATGGGCGCCGCTGTGACCAACTTCCACCTGGCTGGCGCTGCGCCGCAGTTCGCCCAGGGTGGAAAAATGACATTACACTCCAGTCGCTGTGTGGCCTTTGGGGGGCTTCTTTGGAGCCTTTGGGAGGCTTCTTGAGGACATCTTGGGGGCCTCTTCGGGTTTTTGGGGGGCCCCTTGGGGGCCTCTTGGGTGCCTCTTGGGGCCTCTTGGGGGCGCCTTTGGCCGTATTGGGGCGCTTTTGCGCCGTTTCGCCCCTTCGGAGGCCGTCTTGGGGGCCTCTCGCGGCCGCCTTGGGGCCGTCTTGGGGTCTTCTTGGGCCGTCATAAGGGGCCTCTTGGACCGTCTTGGGCGCCTCTTTGGGCCGTTTTGGGGTTCTGTTGGGCAGTATTGGGGCCCTCTTGGGGGCTTCTTGGGTTGTTCAGGAGCGAGTTGGGAAGCTGCCTGGGCCGCAAAGGCGAGAACGCTAAAATTTTACCAAACCAAAAGGAAATCAATGATTTTGGCTTCTGGAGGCGCAGTTGTGGGCGCTCTTGGGGCCCTCTTGGGCCGTCAGTGGGGTTTTTGGGGCCCTCTTGGGGCCGTCTTGGACCGTCTCGGGGCAGTCTTGGTCCGCGCAGAGCCCATCTGGAGTCGTCTTGGCACCCTGTTGGCCCTTCAAGAAGCCCGAGAAGTCGAAATCATGGATTTTCTATAGGTTTTGGTAGGTTTTTGAGCCCCGGGAGGGGGGGGGGGCACTTTGGTCAGCTCCTGTGGCGCAGCTCCCAGAGGGGGGTTAGGGGGGGAGACATTATTAATAATGTAACACAATGCAATATGTGGCAATTATGCAATCATTGGATACATTGGGTACGTTGCATTATCGCCTCCGCAGAAAACTCTGCAGGGTGTTTCAGAGCACGTTCAGTCCAGTCGTTGTGGGGCCTCCTGGGAGTCTCTTGGGAGCTTCTTGGAAGCTTCTTAGGAGCTTGTTTGAGCCTCTGGGGGGCCTCTTTGGAGCCTCTTGGGGCTTCTTGGGGGCGTCTTGGGCTGTCTTTGGGCGCTCTTATGCCGTCTGGCCACTTCGGAGGCCAATTTGGAAGCCTCTCGCGGCCGCCTTGGGGCTCTCTTGGGGTCCTCTGGGGCCGTATTGGGTCTTTTTGGGCAGTCTTGAGGGTTTTTTTGGCCGTCTCGGGGCCCTCTTGGGCCGTGTTGGGGCCCCCTTGGAGGCCTCTTGGGCCGTTTGGGGGCCTTTTTGGAGGCTGCCTGGGCCGTCATGGCCTTCTGAGAGCCGAAAAAAGCGAAAACGTTGAAATTGTCCCAAAACTATTCGGAGAATCAAAGATTTTGGCCTCCGGAGGCGCTCTCGGGAGTCTTCTTGGGGGCCTCTTGGATTTTCTTGGGGGCCTCATGGGCCCTCTTGGGGCCATCTTGGGCCGTCTTGAGGCCGTCTTGGGCTGTCTTGGGGCCATCTTGGGCCGTCTTGAAACTTTCTTGGGGCCCGAAGAGGCCCAAGAGGCCGAATTTGTAGATTTCTCATAGGTTTTTGATTTTTTGAAGCCCAGAAGGGGTCCGCCACCTTTGGGTCGACGGAAGTGGCGTGGCCCCTGGGGGGGGTTAGGGGGGGAGACATAATAATGTAACACAATACAACACGTTGCAATTATGCAATCATTGGACACATTGGATACGTTGCATTATCGCCTCCGCAGAAAACGCTGCCGCTCAGCACGTCACCTCCGGACGTGGATTCAGCTGGATTACGCCACATCCGCCGACCCCAGTAAGTATTCCCTCTCTGCTTCGGCTTCTCGTGGGTTGTTGGGTCTGTGCCAGGCTGGTGGTACACGGGAGCGGGGCTTGGTTGAAGTGCCGGAGGAGGGAATGCGTTTTGCGCTTCGCGTTTGTCCACACCCTTACCAACCAGCGCTTGGACCAACAACACAAAATTTGAGGGCGCTGGGGGATTGAAAAGTCTCAGCCTGGGGAGCCCAGGCTGTACCCGATATTCCCTTCGAGAGGGCGCCAGTGGTTCTGGACGGGTATCGCATGAAGCCAGCGCTGCGTGTGAAGCGCACCCAACTTAAAGCTGTGCGCGGCCCGCTTAGCTTCGACCGGAAGAGGCTCGCTCTCGACCCGCGGATCAAAAAAAAGGTGTGAAGCGCACCCAAATTAGTAAACACCCCGCCGTGGCGGATAAGAGTGAGGGGGCCAGGAGGGAGAGGACGTGGAGCTACGACCAGGCGTTTCTTCAGGCAGTCCGCCTCCCCAGTGCGCCCTTTCAGCGTGCCCTCACAGCGCGCCCGCCCAGCGCCAAATTATGATGACACCGTCATTGGTCGCACCGGCGCACGCCGCGCAAGGGCGGACCTAGAGGACCTAGAGAGGGAGCGCGGCGTTAGTTGGATGTCCAGCTACGTGGCTATCACGTGCGCGCGGCAACAGTAGCACTTATTGTTTTTGTTCGCCCTTTCGATAAAAAGCCGCACAATAAAGGCGATAAGGCTGGCACGAAAAAGTGTTTGGAGGTCACTAACCACCGAAAGTGTATGTTCATGTTTGTTTGTGTTCTTCGAATGCTTGTAAGACTCGCTGGGGCTGGAGCAGATGGGATCGGAGGGTTGCGCCGCATCGCCGATGCATCGGCGATGCGGAGTCCGATTTTCTCCGTTCCGACGTCGCCAGCGCATCGGCGATGCGGTGCGGTGCGATCTCCTGGCCCCATCTGTTCCGGCCCCATGTGAAGGGTCCCCAATGCTCCTCAAGGGCGCCGACACGGGGAGATTGGCCCAAGAGGGGAAGCATCCTTCCCCAATCGCCAATGAATCGCCGATCGAGGCCCACCCCTCCCAGGAACACGCTGCTTCGCTACCGCGGGCCTATCAGATAATCGCCGATCTGTCGGCGATGCACCGCCGAGTCCAAGTCACGACGAAAAAAAACATGAACGCAAACTTAAAGAGGTCTGCACAGATGTCCTGCATCCGCGCGGACCTCCGAATACTCATGTTTACGCCCTTCTTTGTTCCATCCCGTCTCTCCTCAGCCCCACGTTCCTCCTGATTATTTTCATGATCCTCTTCCTGATGTTCAGCCTGGGCCCAACAGAACCGCATTGGGGAGCGTTGCATCATCTTCTTCGCCAGCATCATCGAACTCATCATCATCATCATCATCATCATCATCCTCATCATCCTCATCCTCATCCTCATCACCATCTTCTTCTCCTGCCAATTCATTTCATCTGTGTCATTGTCATCATCATCCCCTTATTCATCGTCAACATAGCTGCCATCATCAACATCATCACTAGCATCCTCATCATCACATCACCACCTTCCTCATCGTCATCAACACCATCATCATCATCCGCCTCTCCTCGTCCGGGCCCCCCCATCGAGAGGCCCCGGCGGGCATGCCCGCCACGCCGCCGCGCTCGAAGTCGCCAGGCGGCGTCCTGGGCGGTATCGGTGAGGCCGCCCCCTCGCCGTGCCGGCGGCCAGCCAGCCTTCGCTGGGCCTCGTCGCCAGTCGCCTCGTCGCCGCCGCGTCGCCGTCATCGTGGTCACCGTCCTCGTCGTCGTGCCTGCCGTTCTGATTGGATTCGGCTGGGGGCCTCAGGTGGCCCAGCACTGATTCCGGCCAGCAGGGGGGGGGCAGCGGCTTGAGGTGCTGGGTTCGGAGAGGTGTTTGGCCTTCTGGGTCTCGGGGAGCCGTTCTCGGGCCGTCGGACCGTTGAAAACGGACCGGGATTTGGTTTCATCCCCCCCTCCTGGCCGATTTTCTGGGGTCCCAGCCTCCAACATTCTGCCTCCTCGTCGTCCTCGTAGCCTCGAGTTTCTCGCCGCCGTCGTCGTCCTGTGGGGGGGGGGGGCGGTGGAGCGAGAGGAGGCGAGGAGGGCGACGAGGGGAAGGAGGAGGAGGAGGAGGAGGAGGAGGAGGAGGAGGAGGAGGGGCAAGGAGGAGGCGGAGGAAGGGTGGGAGGAGGAAAAGTTTGGGGAGGAGAAAGATTGAGATCATGGTGAGGAAGGAGGAAGACGAGAAGGAGATGAGGAGATGACAAGATGAGGAGGTGAAGGAGGAGGAGGAAGAGGACCAGAGCAAACCCAGGATACATCAGCGATGCTGCAATACACCCTCCCGTCTCACGTCCCTTCCCGATTAGCCCTTATTACCCGCCGTCTGTTTCACTACAAGAAGAGCCCCCTCGAAAGACCAGCTCGGCTTGACCTCCGCGAACTTCGTGCACGCGGCCTTCCAAGCATGATACAGCTCAGAGAGGGAAACTCTGTCATCCCAAACGAAACTGTGATAGCGCTTGAGAAGGACAGTCGTCGAGACTAACAAGGCATCGGACTGGCCATCCTGTTGAGTAGCAAGGCAGAGCGCAAGCGAGACACCCTGGGCTGCACCGATCATCCCCCCTGCAGGGGACCGCAGCTGCTCGAGCGCCGTGTCCGACGCACCGCTGGCTTCCGAGACGTGCCCCACCGCAGGGAGAAGGCCCGTCCTCCGCAACTCTCCCACACGCTCGTGCACCGCCCTCTTGAGCACGTTAACCTTGCCCACTCGCGGAATGCAGCTTGGCTAGTCCAACTCGCTCGTGCGCACGGCATACCTTCGCCCCATGTAGCTCGTGCCCTAGGTTGCGGATGTGTTGCCTAGCTTTGAGTTTCATGCACCGCGCGCCTGACAAACAGCATTTCTGAGCCCGAATCGATGTAGCGACGAACCCCGATTTCGATTGCTGGAGAATGAGGTCTAGCTCCCTGACAGCACCCTCGAAGTTGCGCACGCACGCGTTCAAGACCTGTGCCTCCCTGGGATCGGAACCAGACTGCTGCATCGTGAAATCATCGATGGACACGCGCGCCGATATTGTCATATCCGTTGCGCTGGTTGCATACCACTCGACATAGTACTACCATCGGCACCGTCGTCGCATGTGTACATTCCGCCAGGATGCCCTGGAGAGTTACATATGCACGCAGATGCACCAGATGCACGCATAGCACGAGGCGCCCAGTATGGTTGCAAATCATCCACATCAACCCAGGAGGATATCAAACAATTAGCGCCTCACGAAGAATCATGCTCCACAATATGGTTTCGTAGCTTGAACATGCCGAGGATTACCGCAATAACATATTGCTCGCGGGCATATGCCGATCAGGCTTTCAGGTTCAAGTGGAATGCACAATATGATGAAGATCTGCCTGCACCACTGCCCCAGAACGAGGGATGCTGACGACTGCTTTTTCCCGGGTCCACGCGGAGCGGCCGGCGCGCTCTGTCGCATATCCGCAACATTGTGTTGAGCAGAGCCATGGGTCTGGTGCCACCGCTCGGCTTGGGTCGCGTGCAGAGGTCCGTGAACGGCCGGTCCTGCGGCCATTTCAGCATCCCTTCACCCCATGAGGAGCTCGGCGGGGGCCTGCAGTCCTTCGTCACAGACGAACCAGACACAATGCCGAGGTGAAATACGCACTTGCCCTCACCCAGTTCGTCGAAGTCATGGTGACCGGCCTCAGATACGAGCCTGGCAACTCTGGAAGCTGTTCCCACTTCTCTGAATTTCCAGGCAAATGAAGCTCACCAGCAACATGAAGACTCCATATCTGCCTCCGCTTCTTCAGCTCCTGATCTGCAAGTTGTGATGGCGTGGAGTGATCAGTCGCCTGCAATACCTGCTGGAGAACACGGAGTCGAGTGAACTGATGCGCATCACGCCCACCGTTCTTAAAAGCTTCTTCCGTCCATGTATGCCACTCCTCTTTATGCTGCGTAGAGTGCAACTCTTGAACTAGCTGCGCTTGCGCCACCACCTTTTCTATCTTGCGGTCGAGCTCGCCATCGCTGAACCACGAGCTCCACCCGGTCTTCAGAAAGTCACGAGCAGAGTCATCCAGCACCCGATGGACATCAAGAGCACCGACGACCATTTCCCGAGAAAAACTCCTCAAGATCGTGAATGAGAACCCCAGCTTCTCCACGCGAGATTGCTTGGGCTTCTTGCGCTCTGAGACCGCGCTGGCCCGAGCACCTTGAGCTTGACGTCTCGGCATTGTTCCTCAAGAGCTAAAATTTCTCTGTCTATCGACACTGACGCACAAGCATCCGAGATAAGAATAATCAAATTGTCCATGTAGGCAGCCATGCGACGGATGTGTCGGACTCATCTTTCAGCAACACGCCAAGCATAAGCACAAGCATGTCCTGATTCACGACGGTCTTCAGGCACGCCGTTGAATGAAATCAACCATTTCTTATGCATGTCCTCAACGAAAAAATCCGCAACAAGCGTTCACCAACCACGTAATGTCTCCCAGAAAGCTCCAGTTCGATACTGCTCAAGTACGCTAACCATGCTGCGGAGAGATCCTTGTCCGACGCGACTTCGGCGATATGTTGCCGAGTCACCTGGCAATTACCAGGGGACCGAGCGCACCCAGGCAGAAGTGTGCTAGGGAGCTCCTTCGCCTCCTTCATCTTCCTCAACATGACTATGCACTCCTGGACCTCCACAGGCATTGAAGCTGGGAAGAAAAACTTGGTTTCCACTGTCTCGATCACTTCAGGTCGTTTGATGCGAGGAAGAAGAGTTGCAGCCACCAAGAAATAGTTTATCACCGTGCCAGGTAAGCGTTGCCTGCAAGTACTCGCCCGTGATGGTGTCAATAGCCCTCCAATAGTGTGAAGCCAGTCCAAGGATCTCATTTCTTCCAGGCAGATTGAAGCCCCCCCCCGCATCCACTTGCAATTCCCGAGAGACGTCATGGCCATCACGTGGCTGGCCAAGGTCTGAAGGATGGCACCGTTCCTCACAGACAAGCCCTCGTTCACGTATAGATCACCAGCGAGGCACCAAGACATTTTGGCGGCGAGCACGCCATCGTTTGTCTCCGGCCCAGCCGTGACCGTGGTATGTTTTCTCGCCAAGACAGCCACGCCAGCTAATGTCTGCCAGCGTACATGACCTTCGCCGCCGACCAAATTACATGCCATCCATGGCGAAGCACGTTCGCCTGGGCATCGGGAAGCTTGTCTGGAAGCACGTGGTGTTCCTGCACCAAGATGACCTGCGCCTTGGACCATGGGAAGTATACAAGCAATTGGCGTTGAGAGGTGCAGCTCAAAGCTTCAATAGTATGAGATTCAATTATTGGTAAATGTATAGCAATGCAACTGGTCATTTACATGTAGAAGGTACCATTCATCAACCTATGGGTTGGTCTTTTGTTTCTTCGCGAATTGCTCCATGCCATCCGCAGCCCGCTTTGTTGCTGCTCGTAGCTTCTCTTCATCTTCTGGAACTACCATTCCCATGGCCTCGAGAAGCCTCGTAAGGTCAACTGGATCTCCCTTCTCAGCGAAGCTGACTGAGAAGGAAGGCGGAGGACCGCCTCCAGCACTTGGGTCGGGAGGGGCCCCGTCACCAGCAGCAGCCTCAGCAGCAGGAGCAGCTGGAGCATCGGCTGGAGACTGCTCTGTGAGCTTCTTCTCGGCCCCGCGGAGCATGTCCATGCACTGTTTGAGCTTCGTGCCAAAGGTGTCGACATCCCCCCGGCCGAGTCATTTGGCGACCAGTGCTTTGCCCAGCTCATCTACGGAGGCGCCCATGACGTCGATGGTGGCGCCGAGCTCCCTCGTGGCAGCGGCCGCGGGCTGCTCGCGCAAGACCTGCTTGAGCCCGTGGTCCTTCGCAACGATCTGCTGCGTGGTGTCCTGCAGCGCCTGCTCAACCTCGGCCATCGCCTCGGTCGCCTCCTCGAACTTGACTTTGGCCTGAGCGCGCGAGCCTTCCAGACGCACCCTCTTCTCCTCCAGCTGTTCCTTTTGGTTGACCGCGTCGTGCTCCCTGGGAGGAAGCGGAAGGGGGAGGGAGGGAGGACGGGAAGGGGAATGGGATTGGTCGGCGGCGGCGGAATTCTGTTGGTACACAAGTCCGACTGTTGGCACGCCAGACAATTGGCAAATTTGTTCAAGTGCCAGCAGCGCGCCATGCTTAGCGGTGCATTCGCACGCGGGAGGGGGCTCGCGCAGCCTCGGCGAACCCAGTTCGGAGATATCTTTGGGGCCAAGCCGCACCGCAACTTCAACAAAACTTCGGTGGCCATGGATTCGTTCCCAGGCAGGGGAGAAACAAGAAGCAGTAAGCAGGGGTCGAAGCCCCTCTAAAGTTAAAGCGACGACGCGGACCCAAGACGCATCAACGATGTTGCAATCAACCGTCCCTCCAAGCTCCTTCTTCACAGGTCTCCACAAGAGTTTGTGTTCATTGTGGGAAGTGTCCCATTGAAGGACAACCGTTTGAGAATTCACAGTCGTGCCAAAATACAATTCCTGGGACTGCAACACCGCGAATCAAAGTGACGGTGGCGTCCGAACGGTCTGAAGTTGTGCCAGAGCACCGCTCGTGGGGGTTCAACAACGCGCATCAACATGATTGTTGCGTCTTGACGGTCGGACATCTTGCCAGAACACCTCTTTCACGGCATCAACACCGCGAATCAACGTAATTGTCGCGTCCTGGCAGTGCTACACCGCGCCAGAGCACACTTCCTGGTTCAACACTACGAACCCATGAAGCCGCTGCAAGCTTTTAAGACGAATGCGCGCGGCGCGAAGGCGAGAGCCACATTCTGAGAAGGAGCCACCCTCCACCCTGAAAGTGCTGCAGATGTCTAAGACGAGTGTGCGCGGTGCCAAGGCGAGAGAGCCACATTTCGAAAAAAACACCCGGCCTCATCTTTGAAAGCGCCGCATGTGTGTAAGACGAAGGTGCGCTGCGCTCAGGCGAGAACCACATTCTGAAAATGACCCGCACTCCCTGGTTCCTTCCCCCCTCCTCCCTCCCCCTCCTCCTCCTCCTCCTCCTCCTCCTCCTCCTCCTCCTCCTCTTCCTCGTCCATCCCTCTTCCTTATAATTGACCCCTCCCCTGGCGGGGTTGCACACTTGCAAGACGCATGCACGTGGCGCGCAAGTGAGCGCTGCATTATGAGAACCACCCGCCCTCCGTCCTGCCACTTTGCGGCAGATTTCGAGCTTCATGATCGTAGATGGTGGGGACATCTGCGCCGGTCCCGCCAGGGGAGGGGTCACTTATGGGGATAGGAGGAGGGAGGGAGGAGGAACGAGGGAGGAGGAGGGAGGAGGAGGGAGGAGGGAGGCAGGAGGAGGTGGAGGCGGCCATGGCCAAGCCAGCACCCTGCCCCCGCCCAGCGGCGAGGCGCTGGGCAGCGTGGCGCGCGCGCTGTCGCCGCGCAGGCAGGGCCCGGAGGAGCCTCGGGCTTTGCGAAGCATTGCATGTACCGAGGCCTCCCGGATGGGGTCCGAGGTTTTCGTCGGTTCTTGGAGGTGTCTCGGCCTCGGGATGCTTTCCAGCAGCTGCGCCTCGCCGTCCCGAACGGACGCCAGAGACCCTGGTTGAAAAAAAATCGTGACGGACGGTATATCGCCCCGCATCGCCGGTGCATCGTCGATGTGGAGCCCGACTTTCTCCACGCAGGGTCACCGAGGCATCTTCGACGTCGTCGATCGTCGTCGATGCGGCGCGTTCCTCCGACCACATCTACTCGCACCCCATGTGAGAGGCCTCGAATCAAGACTCCCTCAGGTCTCGAGACGAACGGTTTTTATAATGTTCGGCCTCCAGAGGCCCTGACGGGGCCTCGGGACCGGCACGAAACGACTCAGTATGAAAACGGGTCCCTGGCGCTGCACGCAGGGCGCGGCGCTTCACGCGCTTGTGGTTCACAAGATAGTCGAGAAAGAAGACACTGCATAAGCATAAACTTTTGGAGCTCCGCGCGGATTTCCTGGATCGGCGTTAGGCCCCCCTTCTTGCGCCAGGGGCAGCGCCGGAGGCGCCGCCAGGAACCGCGATGCCATGTGTTCCACGACTTGCAGTGCGTGTGTCTCGTTGTATCTTCGTTTGTCCGCGAATCGCGCGATTGGGATACAGTCGGCCCGAGGTATGAAATTGGGGTCGCTTCGGGAAGGGTACCCTGATGTTCTTCGTGTCTGATGTTCTTCTGCATCCTGGGGAGGGCACCCTCGGATGTTCCGTGTGTTTTGGCTGGCGGAGGGTCTCGTGTTCTTGAAGGATGCTCTTCTGTCCTAGGTCCGATTATGGCCCTCCCGAGGAACAGCGGAGTTGTCGGTCTGCCTTCGTGGAAAAGTCCAGCCCGAGAGGTCGAAGGAAGAATCCAGCCCGAGAGGTCGAGGAATGGGGGAGGAGGAGGGCGAGGATGGAGGAGGGCGAGGAGGAGGCGGAGGAAGAGGTTTGTGGCGCTGCACTCGCGGAAGAGTCCAGCCCGAGAGGCCGAAGCACGGGGGCTGCTCCGGCCCACGGCCGCAGCGCCCTCGGGCGCGCCAAAAGGCCCCGGCCTGTCAAGAAGCCCGTGCCCCATAGGGCCCCCGAGCTGCCACGGCAGAGGTCACACGCACACACAGGACGCAACACTTATGTAGGGCGTGTCCCCCTACAGGGGGATTTTCGACGAAAAATAAACCATACCCCAAAAATACCCCTAACAAAAAAAAATATAAAAAACCAAAAAAATAGTCCCCAGACTATTTTTGGACTATTTTTGGATTATTTTGGGGGTATCTTTGATTTTCGTCGAAAATCCCCCTGTAGGGGGACAGGCCCGACTTAAGAGTAGATTCGGAACCGGCGCTGGTCTTCCCATGCTCGAGAACGGGCCGAAGCTGGCCTCCTCCGAGCGAATCCCGTTTCCTCTCCGGGTTGATATCGGGCCCAGTCGGGGCGAATCCGACTCAACGGCCCCTTCATCGGGCTTCATCGCGTCTGCATCGCTCGCGCGAGAAAAAAATCCCATCCGTCGTGCGCCAAAAAGTCCCAGGAGCTGCTCCCTTCTGCGATCTCGATCGGCGGCGCCGGCGGACGCAGGCGCGGGGGTCTTTGCCAAGCGGGGCGCGCGGGGCGCGCGGCGCGCAGACGGGTGGAAAAGACGAGAGCGGTCGCGGACTTGGCATCGCTCGGACGTGTGCATTTTTCCTTCGGCGAGGGCCATCGAGGAGCATCCCTGATCATTTGGCGAAAAAACCACGCACGAAACCGAAAAGAGCACAGGGAATGGACGTCCGAGCGATGGCGGGCGGAGGGGGGAGGGCGGGAAGAGCCCGAGCGCCGAGCGTCGACGGGTGAGGGGCGCGCAGGCTGCCTCGGGCTCGGGCGCGCAGCCTCGTGTGCAGCAGGCGCGGGCACGGCAGGTAGAGCATGCCGCCGAGGGAGAGGACGGCCAGCCGGCAGCGACGCGATGGGATCATGTAGGGGATACCAGGCCAGAGGTTCCCAACACACCCAGGATGCAACTCCTGGGAGATTTTCTTCAGCGTCGGCGCTGGTATATCCGTGGTCGAAAACTGGCCCAATGCGGCATAATCCCAGCTAGTCCCGCTTCACCTGGCTAAATCCTGGGCCTAATCCGGGCTGGCCTGGCTCCATGGCACCCTAATCGGGCTGAACATCTTTAGCCGTTCTTGCCGAAAGCTCCCAGGAGCTCCTTCCCAACAAACGCTCCGGACACGCCTGTCCCCTTCGTCCCTCACCCCATCCGAAGGGGCCCTCCTTCTGCTTCTTCTCCTCCTTTTCCTCCCTGTCCTCCTCCTTCCTCCTCCTCCCCCTCCTCCTCCTTCGCCCCCTCCCCCCCGCGAGGAGGTCGACCTGGACTTCGACACGGCCAAGGCAGTGCCTCGCACTTCCGCGGCCGCAGCGGCGGCCGCGCGCTCCCCCGCGGAGGCGGCGGCCCTCCCTGCCGGGGGGAGGGGGCGGGCGGGGGGCGGCCAAGAGGGGGGTGATGGCCAGGGCCAGGAGCAAGGGAAAAGGAGAAGGGAGGAGGAGGGAGAAAGAGAGAGGCCGATGAGGAGGAGGAGGAGGAGGAGGAGGAAAAGGAGGAGGAAGAGGAAGACGAAGACTGAGAGGGAGAGGGAGAGGGAGGAGGAGGAGGAGGAGGAGGAGGAGGAGGAGGAGGAGGAGGATTTGCTCGGAGCTCTTGGAGACCTGTACTTCAAGAACTGATGCTGACCGTGCAACTGATCGAACCACCTGGCACACAACTGCGTGCTGGGAGCAGAAGCAGGCGGAGGAGGAGGAAGAGGGAGGAGGGCCACGACGATCAGAGGAGAGCATGGGCCCCGATTTTGAGGGGACCCCGCTGCCACAACCTGCACAGTATGGAAGGCGGGCATTTTGCATGGCCCATACGGCTTACTGACGAGAACGAGGGTCGTCCCAGACGGGGGTGATGGCCAGAGGGGGGAGAGGTCATGGCCAGGGCCATGGGATCTCCCCAGACGTCTTGGCTTGGGAGCATCTCGGGGACCTCTTGGGAGCCTCTTGGGGGTCCCTTCGGGCTCGCTGGGGGTCTCTTGGGGCCTCGTGGTCGCCTCTTGAGGGCCTCTTGGGGCCTCCTGGGAGCTTCTCGGGGCCGAGGGCTCGAGATGTTCGTTCGGGCTCCCGCGTGGGCACCTCTTGGAGCCCTTTTGGGGGATCTCTTGGCCCCCTCGTCTCATCTCAGCGCGTCCCTTGGCCCCCCCTGGACCGCGCACATGCCTCGGGCCGTGACTCGCGACCCCCCCTCTTCGACACGGCACCCTCCTGGCCGCCCCCCAGGGGGGGGGGGGTCGCGCACGGCTCGCCACCGGAGGGGAAACTAAGCTCCGAGTTCGCCAGATGCTATCCCGAGCACGGAGATATCTCGTCTGTTGCTCAGAGGCGCCAGAGAAAAATGGATCAACGCATCAGGTTCGGAAATGTGGACGGCACGCAGAAACCGGCCCTGGACCGCGTCGAGAGGAGCGAGAGCGGAGGCCGAGGCAAAGTGAAATGAAGCCGTTCTGCGTTCACTCTACGACTCGGGGGTGCCGACGCTTTTTGGTGGGCCCGTCTCCCTGAGTTTTGACGGTCGAGTTTTCGTGGGAGAGCTCGCGTTAAATTTCAGGCTCGGCCTCGTCGCTCCCTTGACGACCCCGTCAGGCCCCCGAGCCCCACGCACCCAAGTCTTGCGTCTCCCTGACACTGGACGGCAGGGGGGCCCGACGCTCGAAGTCGAGAGTTTTCGGGCGTTTTCGTGGGTTCGGAGAGGCCTTCCAGCCTCGGGACGGTTCCTGGCAGCTGCGCCTCGCCGAGAGCTTTTTCCGGGCGCACCCAGATCGCCCCGAGCGGCAGCCAGAGACTCGAGACCCGAAAGCCAGATTTGAGAGAGAGACTCAGGAGAGGAAAATATGGGAAGTGGGGGGGAAGACAAAAACTCAAAAAATATTAGAAAATATGGGGAATATTTTTATTTGTGTGTATTTATGTGTGTGTGTGTCCTGGGGCCCCTTCAGAGACGGGCCCCAGGCCCTGGGGCGGTCCCCGGGGCCCATGCTGGCGAACGAACGCGGCCCTCGACAACGCAAACGTCGTTTCAAGCCCGGGGTCCGCTCACAAACGGCTTGGCCGTGGGCGGTGCGCAGTGCAAGTATCAGACCCCCCGACTCCCGACTGTTCCAACCGAGGCGTTCGCCGGAGACGAAAACCGCTAGATGGCGTCCTGCTCTGAGAGAGAGACGCTCGCGTCGTGAAGAAATCTCGACGGGAGATTTGGCCGTTCGCGGTTTCGGGGGGGTCCTCGCCAGGCCCCCCTCCCTCAGTGCCACCCACGAGGCAATGGTGGTTCCAGCGCGGCCGAGGTGCCGCCAAGCGACCCGAGCGGTGCTCGGGTGGGAAGCCGTGCCCGAGGCCCCCCTCACCCAGACTCCTTGGGGTCATGAAAAAATCATGGTACGATTTTGTGTTCGGCCTCTGGGGGCCCTCGCGGGGCCCCAGGGCCGTCAAAAAACGACGCGAGATGAAAAGCCGTGCTGGGGGAATGGGTCGGGACGTCTGGGGGTCCATGTTGCGAAAAAATCGCGGCACGTCGGGGGTCCCGAGAGACGGGTCCCAAATTTTGGGGCGTTCCCCAGGCAGAGCTCCTCATCCTGGGCCGTTTTTCACGGAGCAACGATCCTCAAAGTGGCAGGTATTTGGACGTGGTCTGCCCCTCTGGGAATGCGCGGCACCACTCGTGAGTTTTCTCTATGTGCCGCGCTTTCCCCGCGGCGGCCCACCGCTCTTGATTTTTGTTTCGCCACCCAGGCGTTGTCATGCGAATATCTCAGACAGACCCGATTGATGCTGGGACGTTTATGGGTTCTTGGTGATTCTCCCTGGATTCCTTCATATTCCTGAGGGTTGGGGTTGTGCGGCGCCCGACAACTCAGTGGCGGAAAGTGGGAATGTGGCGAAGGGTTCTGTCAGGGGAGGTTCCAAACGGAGAGGGATGAGAGAGATACTAGCCGTTGTTCGACTCCCCACCAAGTTTTGGGAGTTACTGGCCAAAAAGATGTCCCAGAATATGGCGGGGATGCGGCCCAGGGAGGGGTCGTGAGAGATGTGCCGTGGGACCTTGGTCGTCGTGTGGTCGTCGCCATCCGTCGTCGTCGTCGCCGTCGCCGTCGCGCGCTGTGAGGGCAGAAGGCTATTGTTGGTTAGATCCTACCACTATTTGCCACGTGACGGGTCGAGCAGAACACGAATTGGTTTCGCCCGTTTGCGTTGTCACGTGACCAGCAGACTAGAATTGAAATTGTTCGCCCACAGGCCGTATGTTTCCCAACCATCCTGTGGTGTTGGGTCATCGCTTTGAAGAAACAGCGCCTCTCGTCTCACTCACTCATTCCTTCCCCTCCTCCCTCACCCCTCCCATCCCCCACACCTGCCAATGCCCTCCGCACATACTCGTCGCCATCATCATCATCATCATCATCATCATCATCATCATCATCATCATCATCATCATCATCATCATCATCATCATCATCATCATCTTCATCTTCATCTTCATCTTCATCTTCATCTTCATCATCATCATCATCATCATCATCATCATCATCATCATCGTCCTCGTCCTCGTCCTCGTCCTCGTCCTCGTCCTCCTCCTCCTCGTCGTCGTCGTCGTTGTCGTCGTCGTCGTCATCAGCAGCTGCAGCATCATCATCAGCAGCATCAGCATCAGCATCATCATCATCAGCATCAGCATCATCGTCATCGTCATCATCATCATTATCATCATCATCATCATCATCATCATCATCATCATCATCGTCATCATCATCACCATCATCGCCGTCACCACCATCATCGTCAGCATCGTCATCATCATCAGATTCACCCTTCATCGCCATCCAGGTCCACCAAGTGCCTCAGTGGTACAGCGCAGTTCGCATGCGGCTCCCCCGGCCCGTCCGGCACAACTCCAACACGCTTCGCAGCCCCATAGGGAGCTCCACCAAAGGCCTTGACGGCACAGATCGCATGCAGCTCCCCCACCACTTTGGCAGACTCCTCACGCGTGTCGTGGCCCCATCGGGAGCTTCCCCTCCTTCGCCCCGCCTGCCCAGCGGCACTCGCACTTGCAGGTGGTTGGGTCCTTCGCGAGGATAATCTATCCGCCCCGTGCATAACCACGTTGTGGGGGAGGACGAGGCTGAGGAGGATGAGGATATCGGACGATGGGGGAGGATGATGACGCCGACGCTGACGCTGACGCTGACGCTGACGACGACGACGACGATGATGATGATTATGATTCTGCTGATGATGATGATGATGATGATGATGATGATGATGATGATGATGATGATGATGATGATGATGATGATGATGATGATGATGATGCTGATGCTGATGCTGATGCTGATGCTGATGATGGTGATGGTGATGGTGATGGTGGTGATGGTGATGGTGATGGTGATGGTGATGGTGATGGTGATCATGATGATGATCATGATCATGATCATGGTGATGATGATGATGATGATGATGATGATGATGATGATGATGATGATGATGGTGATGGTGATGGTGATGGTGATAGTGATGGTGATGATGATGATCATCATCATGATCATGATCATGATAATGGTGATGATGATGGTGGTGATGGTGGTGATGACGATTGTGATAATGGCGATGATGATGACGATGATGAGGATGATGAGGATGCTGATGATAATGATGATGATGATGCTGATGATGGCGATGATGATGATGATGACGACGATGACCATGATATGGGTGATGATGATTATGACGATAATGATGATGATGATGATGATGATGATGATGATGGTGATGATGCTGACGATGTTGATGATGATGGTGTTGGTGGTTGTGATGATGATGATGACGATGACGGTGATGTTGATGAGAATGAGGATGATGATGAGAATGAGGATGATGATGATGATGGCGATGGTGGTGGTGGTGGTGATGATGATGCCGATGATGATGGTGATGATGATGATGGTGGTGGTGGTGATGATGACGCTGATGTTGATGCTGATCTTCATGTTTAGGACGGTGGTGATGATGATGGTGACGATGGTGATGATGATGGTGATGATGATGGTGCTGATGAAGATGATGATGCTGATGATGATAGCGAGGGTGGTGATGGTGAGGCGGAGGAGGAGGCGGAGGACGAGGAGGTTGAAGATGCTGATAATGGTGATGATGAAAGAGGATGAGGGCGCTGATTATGATGAGGGAGGAAGAGGAGGAGGAGAAGGAGGAGGAGGAGGCCTACCTTCGAGGTTTCTGGTGTTGCCTTTTGGTTTCCGGGATGGCGTTTTGTTCTTGTTTCCATGGGTGGTGGTTCGGGCTTTTGGGGCTCGTGTGGTCGGCCTTTCCGGGGTTCGCGCGTGCGCGTTCCAGAGTTCGTGCCCAGTGTTAGCGCACCCTCATCCTCCTCATCATCCTCCTGTGCACCCTTCCTTACCCCTCCTCCTCACGGGGAAGACGCCGCCGCCGCCGCGACCCACGACGACGACGACGACGATGACGACGACGACGAATTTGCCCATGGCAGGCGTCAGCACAAGGCACCGCCGGCTTCGGGGGGGGCGACTCCCCCGCGCCGCAGCAGCAGTTCTCGCCGCCGCCGAGGCCCCAATTGGGGGGGGAGAGGCAGCGGAGAGGCGATCTTTCTCGTGCCCTTTCTCTCTCTCTCTCTCTCTTTCTCTATCTCTTTCTCGCCTGTCTCGCTGCTCCCCCTGTTCTTTTCTCTTCACTCTCCTCGTTCGCCCGCCCCCTCCAGGCTCCACCACTCCGTCGGCCGACACCGTCCGTGCGTGTCCCGGGCTCTGCGAACGACGGAAAGATCGCGTGGGAGGGTGCACACGGCTGGCTGCAGAGGGGGCCTCGTCCTCGGCGCACCTCGCCTTCGGCCGAAGCCGGCGGAGAGGTGAGGCGGCGGGGCGGCTCTCGCAGGGCCCGCCTCCACGGAGGGAGGGGGCCGCCTGAGCGCTGAGTCGTGCAGGTGCGGCCCCCTGGCGTCGGCAGGCGGCGCCTGGAGGGCAGGAATCGGGGGTGGACAGACCTCCCCTACCCTGACACGTCGATTAAGGAATTGGCCGTTTTCGGTTCGCGAGAGGGAGTCGCGGCCGTCATGTTTGCGGGTCCAGGTCCGTCGGCTTCGGTCCCAGGCCGTTTCCACTAAGGGGAGGCTTACTAAAGGGAGGTTTGTCCACCGCCGAGCCTGGAGGGCAGGAAGAGGAGGGCCCCTCTGGCGGGGCAGGCTCTCTCTCGCAGGAGAGGAGAGGAAGAGGAGGGCCCCTCTCTCTCTCTCTCTCTCTCTCTCTCTCTCGCAGGAGAGAGGCTCTCTCCTTCTCTCTCTCCTTCTCTCTCTCTCTCTCTCTCTCTCTCTCTCTCTCCCCTGCGCACGCCTCCCCGCCGGCCTGCCTCCCCGAGCTTCGCCGGCCTGCCTCCCCGGGGGAGGGAGGGGGGCCGGCCCCGGCACTCGGCCACGGCACGGCGCCCATGGCGTCGTCAGACCGACCAGGTTTTGATCTGCGGGGCGAGAGCGAACCTCTTCGGCTAAAAGCTAGGCGGGCTACGTACAGCTTTCATTGGGGAGACAGGGCACAGGAAGGCGCAGGAGGGGAGAGAACACGGACACAGTGAATCGTCGACTCCCAGGAAAAGATGGGAAGTGGGGGGAAGACAAAAACCCAGAACATATTGGAAAACATGGGGAATCCTGTTGTTTGTGTGTGTATTGATTTGTGTGTCCCTGGGCCTCTGCATTCTCGCCGCCCCCGCGGGGTCCTGCGCCGCATAGCTCAGCACATGTCGCGCGCCGACTCTCGGCAGGGGTTCGTTCTCGACTCGAGGCCCCACGCGGCACGTCCCATCCAAAGACCAACGGGAGGGGGGAGGGGCAGGGGGACGTGGCCCTCAGAGGGTTTCACCGAGCGCGTTCCACTATTCGCAGAGTGCCCACTCGCAAACGTTTAGAAGCACACATGTTTGCCTCGATGTAACGGATCGATCGTAAATCCCCTTTCGGCAGATTTAGGCCACTTGCGAGCAGTTGCTTCGCGAACAGTGGAACGCGCTTATCGAGGGCTGGAAAGAGCATCTGGGCCGAAGTTGCGCTGTTCGGAGCCCCCTCTCCCTGGGGCCCCGTGTTGCGGGGCGTGGTATCTGAGGCGCCGAGATGGGATCTGAGGCCTCGCGCACGGAGGGCGAAAGTCCCGTCACGGGCTTCGCTATCGGGCGCCAGCGCGCGGCCGTGTTCTCTTCGGGCGCGCGCGCGCGGCCAGCTCGTTTTTTGTTCTCGGGGGCGACGGTTAGAGCGAAACAGCTTGTTCTGAGGTTCGTGCACTCGTTTGTCGCAGCGTGTTGAAACGAAACGAGATTTGAAACGAGAACGTCTTTTAGGTCATTGCATGGTTTGTGAACCTTGGACGGCGCGCTGTCTGGAGGGGCGTCTTGGCCTTGGCCTGCCGCTTCCACCAGCCAAGCGCAGGGGAAAGGAAGACATATTACCAGGTTGCGTTTACCTTCGCTCTGCATCGCCATTTCCACCCACTCCACCTCTGGGCCGTGCACGCGAAGCGGTGCGCGCGAAGGGTGCTGTCCGGCAGATGTGACTCAAGTATGTGATTGCACAGGTATTGTGTTGGTTCCTTCTGTTGTTGAGTTCCTCATCATCCGCCTCCGCCTTCATCATCCACCTCTTCCTCTCCCTCCCTTCTGGGGGGGGCTCCTTAGAAGGAAGGATCCCCCCTGAAAGGGCCTGGAGGCCTCGGTATCTACGAAGCCCTCTCGCAAGCACCCCGCCCTCTCAGAAGGACGTCCCTTTCGCGCCACCCCCCTCCACGGCGCCGGTCGTCGTCTTGGTCCTCATCATCCTCGCGCCTCGTCTTTTCGGGCGGGGCTAGGACGAGGACAAATCCGTTCCAGAGCCTTCCAGAGCGCTCTCAGAGCGTTCCTGAACGCTCTGCAAAGGCCGCGGCGCCCGAGACATCCTCCAGAGCCGCCAGATCTCAGAGATTCCCGACTTATCCTCACCCGATGTTGTCCCCGTCCTGACTTCGTTTTATCTTCCTCTTCGCTCATCTTCGTCATCCGCCTCATGCCCCTCCCGCCGAGGCCGCCAGCCCCGGCGTTCGCGGCCGGCGGGCGTGCGCAGGTGTTCAGTGCGACGCTGAATACGTGGCTGCTGGCGCGCGTCACGAAGGTCCCATGGAGCACGTGCGCGGAAGGGTGAGCTCTCATGCTCCTCATCGGGAACTTATCGGGTGCTGTTGGGGGTGGTCGTAGCCCACATGGTCACCCGTTTTCCGCGCCATCCTGTAGCCCCTGAGGCCCTGTGGGCCTCGTGAGGGGTGCGCTGGGAGCCATCCCGGCCTCCCTGGAGGTCCTGGTGCCGCCTTGTGCCAGGGACACTTCTGGCAGCACCCAATCCTTGTCCTTGCCCTCCCTTCTGTACCTAAGGGCGAAAGCAAGCGCAATCCCACTCGGAGAAGCAAAGGCGGCGGCAAGCGGAATAAGAGAGCGGCGCCAGTGGGTCGGAGTGACCAGGTACCCAAGCCAGGGCCGGGACAGGAGCGCAAAAGCCCTCCTCCTCTTCTTCCTCCTCCTCCTCCTCCTCCTCCTCCTCCTGGTTCCTGGTTCCTGATGGCTGTAGGGTTCGTCAGGAGGCAGCTACGCCCAGCTCCACCCCCGAGGGCTGAGCCAGTGTTGACAAGGTGGCACACCAACCAAGAGGAGGAGGTCCCCAGGAGGAGAGGTAGCACGACGCAACGAGACGACCCGAGAGATCAGACGGCGGGGAAGAGGAGCGAGAGAGGCGAGGATGAGCAGGAGGGCAGCAGGGCACGACGAGGAGGAGCGGAAGAAGAGCGGGGAGAGGTCCCGAGCAATTCACAGAACCCGTCAAGCGCCCCCCCCCGGCCGAAAGAGGGACAGGGCCACAGACGCGAGGCAGCCGTGCCAGCGACGTACTAAAGCGAGTGGGGGGGCGCTGGGTGGGGTCCCCAGGCTGGCCAGGGCCTCGATTGGTGACTGGTGGCTAGCACAGTATGCACCCACGCTCCCACGCCTCCATATCTCACCTCGCCTCCACACCCCCTCCGGCGGCAGCTGCGAAAAACAGTCTCGAGAGTGGCTCGGGCGCGCCTTGCGGTTCTTTGGAACCGCCTTCTGCGGCGCTCTTTCTTTGCAACGAAATTGGTAGCTGGGCGAGGGTCCCTGCCCTTGGGAATACGTGCCAGTGTGCGGCTTCTTGATAGCAGCACCGATCGGGCTGCTGGCGCCAGGCTCCTCGCGGGCCCGTGGCCTCGGTCTGTCGCCAGGGTGGAGGAGGAAGGAGGAGGAAGGGGTAGGATCAAAGAGAGGGGGGGCAGGGAGATGGAGCCGGCGCGGGGCGTGCTGTAGGGCGGTAGGCAAGACAGGCGACGAGGGACCCCCCGCCAATGCAGTAGGCCCGCTCTCTTGTTCTTCTCGGCTCCTACGGCGTCGGGGGGACTGACCCGCCGCCGTGGCTGCCTGGGCAGCTCTTCCGGAGGACAGGGGAGACTACTCGGCATCAGGGCCCTTGGCCGGCGACGCCCCGTCCCAGATTCCTATCCGGCATCTGCGCTCTTGGCCTGGCAGGTGGCTTAAACCCGACGTCTTGTCGGCATTTAGCCCAAGTAGGTTCGGGACTGCAAAATGAAAGTTGGGCCCTGGATCAGCTGGGCACGCTGGCGCCAGGGGCCGAGTGAAGATTGCCTGCGTCGTCGGCCGTAGCAGCGTGTAGGATGAGGTCTTCCAGGTCCAGAGTTCACAGGGCGGCGGAGGGCCAACTGGGCTCCGAGCCGGCCCAGCGTTCACAGTCGAGGTGCCTCGTCCGTCTCAGCCTCGAGCCCTCGAAGAACCTTCGTGATACGCCTCGCGTATTTTACAGATCCGTGCAGAGCAGCGTCGATCGCCGAGTCACGGCATAAGTCGAGCTGAGCTGTGTGGGGAAGGAAAGGAGGATGGACGTAAAAAGAGAAGGAAGACAAGAGGAGGAGGCTGAACGCTGGTGTAAGCGGTTGGCGGCTGCGTTCCTGCAGGCTGGCGCCAGGCGCCTCAGAGAAAGCCTCTCGCAGGCGTGGGTTCACCGACCCCCGGGGCCCAGCCGAGCGGGCTCTGGGGTGGGGGGCCGCCCGTTTAGGGTGGCCAGTCCCACCGCGCACTCGACGTGGCCTGCCGCGCGGCTCCAGCGCTGGCAGTCCGGGGGTGGCCACGCTCTCGCAGGTATCAATCTTCTCCTCGCACTCGACGTCGTAGTCCTCTCCACGGCCAGCGTCCTCGTCATCCCCGACCTCCTCCTCCTCCTCCTCCTCCTCCTCCTCCTCCTCCTCCTCCTCTTGATCAGGCGCGTGGCTCTGCCCCCCGAGGTCCCACCGGGCCCGCTTTCAGCACGGGCGTCTCGCCGACGTGTCCGGGCCGCCGCAGAGCCCTGGCCGCCGCAGAGCCCTGGGCCTTTTGCTGCAGGAGTGCAGAAGGTCCAGCAAGGAGGCCCGCCGAATGGAGCTATTGCCTCCCCTCTCTCTTTCTCTCTCTCTCTCTCTCTATCTCTCTCTCTCTCTCTCTTTCTACTGGGCCAGTGACCCCTCACGAACGCTACGTGCGCGAGGCCTTGCTGGTGGGATGTGCTAAGGAACGGGCTGCACCAATGAGCTGTGCTGACGGATTGCCTTTAGCTTCAGCTCAGCCTAAGGTATAGCCTCAGCTATAGCCTAAGCCATAGCCGCATCCTCAGCCTCTGGTTTAGCTTCACATGGGTGCCCGAGCTGATACGTTGATTGAGTAATTCTTTCAGTGGGTGAACACTGCCTCCATACGATGAGCTGGGACCAGTCGAGAAGCCCGTTGCTTAGCGTAGCGCAGCGGGCCGTGGTTTTGCTATGCTTTGCCTGTACTAGTTCAGCTCAGCATGTCTTGAATGAGGCATAGTCCAGCCCATCCCATCTTAGCAAAGACCATCCTAGCATAGAACAGCCTGGTCTAGTCCAACAGGTGGCATCTTGGTGGCAACCGTGGGCTGTCTTGGCCGTTGTGGGGGCTACATTGGGCTATCTTGAAAAGTTGGGCGCAACAAGGCAGGTCAGGATGGCTGATCGCGCTTTTTTATAACCTGCCAAATGCTTGTCGCGACGCCCTGTCTATTCGCAGCACTGGGGTCCACACCCAAAGCGAGGAGATTAGGGGCGGCGTTCAACTCTGACCCCACAGTGGAAGAGGGCTTATTTTGGGTAAGCTGGTACCTCAGACCACCGACGCCAAGAGGGCCAGTTGGATTTCAAGATTCGCCAACTTGTTTACATTACGCACAAGGCTGACCAGGTCAATGTTTCGATACCCTGGTCTGCACGAAATATCGAAGGCGCCTACGGCGAATCACCGCCGCCCCCTGCCTTTTTGGGAGCGCCTATGTGGCCGAACGTTGAGGCCAGACCTGCCAAGCTATCGGACCATGTGTTCCCCGAATCGGTTTGGAAAGCCTTCGGGGAACACGTGGGCATCTTGAAAGTCATCTTGGCCGTGTGGACGCCATTTTGACCCTTTCGGGTATTCTTGGAGGACGTCTTGGAGGGCTCTTGGGCCGTCTTGGAGGCCATCTTGAGCGTGGATGTCTCTTGGGCCGTCTTGGGGGCCTCTTAGCCGTCTTGGGGGCCTCTTGGGCGATCTTTGGGGGCACTTGGGCCGCCTCAGGCCGTCGGAAGGCCAGCAAAAAACAAATGCCACAATCCTTCAAAAACTCATGGGAAATCAATGATTTGGGCCTCTTGCCTCTTCGGGCCTTCCTGGAGGCCCTCTTGGGAGCCTCTTGGGCCGTCTCGGGCCATCTTAGGACCATCTTGGCCGTTTTGGTGGGCTCCTGCCCCGTCCGACGCCGTCGGAACCCGTTTGGGGGGCCCCTCTGGGCCGACTTGGGGCCCTCTTGGAATGCTCCAGGGCCGTCTTGGAGGCCATCTTGGGCGTCTTGAAGGCCTCCTGGGCCGTCTTGGGGGCCTCTTGGGGCCGTCTTGGGGGCCTCTTGGGCCGTCTTGGGGCCATCTTGGAGGCCTATTGGGCGATCTTGGAGCGATCTTAGGGGCCTCTTGGGCCGTCGGAAAGCCGTCGAAATGCCAAAAAGGCGCAAATGCCAAAATCTTTCAAAAACCCAACGGAAATCATTGGCCTCTTCGGGCCTTCCTGGAGGACCTCTTGGAGGCCTCTTGGGCCGTCTTGGAGGCCTCTTGAGGGCCTCTTGGGCCGTCTTGGGCCATCTTGAGGCTATCTTAGGCCGTCTTGGGTGCTTCTTGGACCGTCTTGGAGGCATCTTGGGGCCATCTTAGCCGTCTCGGAGGGCATCTTGGCCGTCTTGGAGGCATCCTGGAGGCCATCTTGGGCCGTCTTGGGGCCGTCGGGGGCAGGAAAACCGTTTGCAGCCACCTCTGGGCAAGCCTCCCGGGACCCCGGCGGGACGCGCCGGAGCCCCAGGGGGAGCTCTTTTGGAAAAAGAACCAAAACCAAAACCGAGAGGGTTTAACACGCCAGGCACCCCTGCGATGAATCGACAGGGGGCGCCGGATCAAGTTGTTTGCGGCAGGTTCCGCCACCGTGCCAGTGCAGCAATATGTGTGGCGACGCTTCGGGCACTGCCCAGACTACCGTAGCATGTGTCACCTCTCATCGCTATTCCTTGAGGGTCCATCACGGGGTATACCTGGGCCGTCTTGGGACTGTCTTGGGCTTCTGTGAGGCCGTCTTGGAGCCATCGTAGGATTCTTTAGCCTCAGTGCGAATACGCATAGTATCTTGACAATAAAAGTACGCATTTGCAGTTCATGTTGGGCCACCCATGGAAGTTTAGAGACTGCTGGAAATCAGGGGATGCAGTCTGATCGAAGTCTATTAAGCTGTTCCATCTAACGCGCAGTGTTCGGTGCTTCGGCTGCTGCATTGTCTTGCTTGGCTTACTCATTGTATCAGGTGAGGGCCAGCGCAGCTGAGCACGCTGAGTCGCCACCGTTGCACAAATGTGTCACCCGCAGTGCGCGTAAGAGGGGAGATGCTGAGGTAAAGTTTGCAGCATTCGTAAACTGTGTGACTGGTTTTGTTTTTCACACGCAGGCGTGACCTCATCAAACATGTCACCATCGACCGCTGGTGTCTTGTCTAGAACCTTAACAACAAAGCTTTCAGTCGTTGTCCCACCCCTCATCCCACCACACACAGGGCATAGAGCTGCATGTAGCATGGCAGGCTTTGTTGACGCTTCGCGTACCTCAATCACCGCATTCAGGAACGATTCCCATGCGACTTGCCGTGAGAAAGGAAGCGGATGAGCGCCGGTGAAACGAAGAGGTTGAGACAAGCCGCGCGCAAGGATTGGTCAGCCCAAGCAACTCCCTAAGATGATAGATCTGTGGATTTGCGTGAGCCGCATGGAGGCGTCTTGGAGCTATCTTGGGGCCGTCTGGAAGCTGTTGCGACCTTCCAAGTGGCCGTTGGGGATTGGTGGGGCCATCGTGAAGGCCGTCGACCGAAAAAAGCATCAAGGTCCCAATTAGCGCTGCCTCTTCAAAGGATCCCGACAAAAACGCCTCGTGGAGTTCGTCGCGTGCCCTAGGGAGGCCGTCTTGGGTCGTTTTCTGGGCCTCTCTTGCCGTTTCGGGGTTATATTGAGGCATCAAGCGAAAATGAGAGAAGGCACAACCCATCAACAAACTGGTTACAGCATTTCCCATGGGCTTGGGCTCTCGGTGGAATCCTTGGGAGGCCCCCCGGCAACCTCGAGAGATCTTCGGTCGAGAGCCTTGAGACGGGGGTTACTGCAAACGGGGGTCAGTCAGAGCGCCAGATATTGCAGGATCCTGCAAAGCCAGGGGTGCATTGACCCAGGCTAGGGCGCAGGACCCTGCCGGATTTTGCAGGATCCTGCAAAGCCCGACTGACCCTGGTTTGCATTGACCCGGGTCAATAGATCCCTAATTGAGACCGTCTGGGGGGCCTCTTGGAGCCATGTTGTCGGCCACCTTGGGCTACCTGGGCATCTTGGACGCTCTAACCTCTCGCGAGGAGCCACGTCCTGACCACCAGTGAGGCGGCCAGGGGAGGGGCAAACCTTTTCTCAAAGAAGAATGAGGGGCTATGCGTGAAGAGCTCGTACCAAAATTATTATCCACGCGAGCCCAAATGGCTGGTGAAAATTCGGTGCCTCACTTCGCAATCGTGGGATGGATTGCTTGCACAGGGTCCAGCTCGCCCCCAGTGACGCGCGCCCACCGTTGCCACACTGCAGACCTCCCACATGGTACCAGAGCAGATGGGGTCGCAGGACCGCGCCGCATCGCCGATGCATCGGCGATGCAGCCCGATCCAGAGTCCGGTGTTTGTTCCGTCCCGACGTCGCCAACGTATCGGCGATGTGGCGCATTTGCTCTGGCCCCACGGGGGAGGCCTCCACACGCAGCTGGCCGCCCGCAGAGACGGGGCAGGTCGACGGCTGCATGGTCACGGTGGTGTACAACTTCCCCGACGGCGGAGAGGCCGCTCGCCCGTGCCGTGTCCGAGCCGCATCGTGCGTGTAGCCACGCGCATGCGGACGATGATTCGCCGGAAGGGCCTCACCCAGTGCGGTTCTGCGTTTCTGCGGTCAGAGGCAGGTCGTGCAAGCACATCCTACCCCAAGAAAGGTGGAGGACGGGAAAGAGCAGCTCCCGACCTCGGCGCCTGTGCGGCGCGCCTGAGCGAACTTCGCCCCGTGATGTTTCTCCTCTCCTCCTCCTGCCCGTTCCGCTTGCACCTTCGCCCCCTCACCACCACCACCGCCTCTAGCTCGCAGGCCGCCTTCACCCGCTAGCAGCAATCCAGCAATGGCAGCCCTCAGGTACCCAGATCATCGGCATCATCATCAGCAGCAGCAGCAGCATTATGATCATCAGCATCAGCATCCTCAGCATCATCATCATCATCATCATCATCATCATCATCATCATCACCACCACGCTCACCACCATCATCAAAAACACAAACGTCAACAACGACAACTCTGCGCCCCCCCCTTCGGCTCGCGGCCCGCTGATGCAGCGCGCCGTCGAGCTGTTGGTGGAGGCGGGCGGCGATGTGCTCTACCAGGGTCTGCGAGCCGCGTTCGTCGAGCGGCTCGCGGGCCGACCACTGCCTTTGACGGACCACGAGGCCCCAGCGTTCGGGACCTCCTGGCCGTCTCAGGCGGCGGACCTCGGAGCAGCGGCGGAGTGCCTTGCTCACGAGGCTTCCGTTTCCTGCCCCGCCGTCTGCTTCGGGCTGGCGGTGAATTTGAATGGCGGGGTTTTTCCCCTGCTGCTCGCAACGGTCCTCTCGCTTCTGGGGGGGACCCCTTGCTGCAGCTTCTGCGGGGGCTGCTGTCTCGCGGGCCTGGCGGTCTGTTGTGCGAGCCCTCTCCTGGCTCGCATTCGCGGCGCGCTGGGCGCGCCAACCCTAGCGCCCGCGAGGGCAGCTGTGCGGGCCTTGGCCTACGGCCCTGGCTCTCGAGCCGCCTCGCGCGGCACGGCGGCGTCGACCTTTCGGCCCGCGTCGCCGTCTCGGGGTTAATCCCCTCGGGTCGGCCCCCAGGCCAACCGCGCGGGCGAACGCGCGGCCACTATTGCAGCGGACCTGGCGCTTGTCACGGTGGGCGCGTGGGCCCCTGAGCGTGGGTCACGATGGCCGCAGTGCCAGCGTTGCCAGAAGGCCCCGTGTGCCCCGAGCTACATCCGTTCGAGACACCATTTGCAGTGAGCTACGATAAGTGGCGGCTCGACAAGGGGGACCGCAGCTTCGCCGCCATACCGCTTGCTCAGCGAGATGGAGGCGCGTTGCTCGCTATTCCCTCGACCTTCCGCTCGGCTGCCGAACTGGCGGCCGCGGAGGCGGACGGCTGGGTCCGCACTTGGTGGTGGACGTGCCTCTCCTCGGGGCAGCCTCGCACGCGCGGGCCACCATGGCATCGGCACTGGTGATCGACATGGAGGTCAGCGAGCTGAAGCTCGGGCCCCTGTCGCCGCTGCCCGCGGTCATTCCAGCCGACATCGTCCCGTTCGCTACGGCGCGGAGTCGCGACTACTGGCCGCACCCGCTTATGGCGAGGCTGCCCGCGAGCAGTTCGCCGCGCTCCCAGAGCCCCATCTGCAGACGGCGCGGAGGACCTGCCAGGAGCCGATCGGGCCCATTTCGGGTCCAGGGACGGCAGGCGACGGCGAACGCGAGCTTGCAGCCCCAGCGAGGGCCCCTCCACCGAGGCACCCAGGGTCTATGCAGGTCGCGACGCCCCCCAGCCGGTCGAGGAGGAGGGCGCTTTGTCGGGATCCCGCTGACCAGCCTGCAGAGCTACGCGACGCGGGCCCCATCCCGCCCCGCAGCGGGCGCAGGTCGAGACGATCACTCCCGCCTCTGCGCTGGCGGCCACACGGGGAGCTCCGCGACCCGCGGGCGCGTCGGTCAAGGCTGTCGGCCGCCTCCGGACACGTTGAGAGGGGGGGCACCCCCAGGGCCCCCTGTCCCCGGCCGGGGCTCCGCCCCCGCCGAGGGGGCCGCCGCGGGAGGGCCCTCGGACCCAGCTGCGACCACGCCCTCGAAGTTGGACCTCGCACTGGCGCGTCTGCGGGAGGCTCCCACGCGCCAGCGTGCCCCGCGAACGACGGCCCACCCTCTGCCGAGCTCGCTCACCGAGCAGGCTCTAGCACAGCAGGGCCGCCCCTCGGACGGCGCGTCCGCGATGACTCAGATGCGGGGCATCGCGCGTCGTCGCGAGCGGCGGCAGGCGCTCGCTCAGCACGGGCCTCGCGTCAGAGAACTCATGAAGGAGAGCCTGGCTGTGCTCGTGGCATTTGCCTGGAAGACGCGACGCCCACGGCTATGTTCCAGTACTTTCGGGAGCAGGGTCCCTCGGGCGGCCAGTCGTCGACCCACGAGCCGCCGACCCACATCGCGCGGTCGAGCGCCGAGTTGTGGCGCGCCAGCGAAGGGGGGAACGCAGAGAGCGCCCAGACTCCGCTGACCTGCCAGCGCACGTTCGTGGATCAGCTGGCGGGGTGTCGCGGGCACCTCGAGGCGGCGCGGATCTCGACGGGCCCGGAGGCGAGAGGCGCACAGCCCGTTCTCGCTGCCGGTGGATCCGCGTTGGCTGTCGGCCCAGGGCGGGCACATGAAGGAGCTGAACTCCTTCCGGCCCCGCCCGGACTCGGAGCGGGCGACGGCTTCGAAGTCGCCGATATCCAAGCCGAAGGCGTAGGCGAAAGCGAAGCCGAAGATAAAGGGAACGCCGCCGCCCAAGGCCAAGGCGGCCGCCAAGCCGCCTTGAAGTCGATGGACCGCCCCCTCGGGGGCGGACCGCGGGGCTCTGTCCCCCGCCCGTCAGCTTTCTCTGCTGACGGTTGCGTTGCCAGGCGCAACGAGCCCGAGTTCGGTCGCGGAGGTCGGACTGAGCGTCTCCAGCGAGTGCTGCCCCGCTGCGGGGGGGAGCGCGTTGACCCCAGCCCCCCTCGCCCCGCTGGCCCTGGCCCTGGACCCAGCCTCCTCCCCCTGGCCCTGGCCCCAGCCCCCCTCGCCCTGGACCCTTTATTATCTTGCGCAGCTGTGCTCTAGAGCTCGGACCTCTTCATTTTCGTTCGTCGTCGTCGTTCGTTCGTTCGTCGTTCGTCCTCCCCCCCACGGCCACAAAAGTAAACTCCTGGAGGAAGGAGGCGAAAGCCTCCTGCCTCTCTCAGCTCCTTGGCGCAAGAGCCAGTGCACGCGCGCCACTTGTTCCAGGCCCCGCCGCCCGCTCAAGTCCCCAGCTTCCAAGCGAAACTGCCCAGTCTAATCCCCATATTCCAGGCACGCCCGCCCATTCAAATCCCCCACTTCCTGGCCCGACCCCCCGATCAAACTCCCACTGCACCCTAGGCACCGCCACCGGATCGAGCCCTTGGCCCCCAGGGCAGACTGCCAAATCAAATCCCTTGCTTCCAGGCCACGCCGCCCGTTCAAATCCCTCTCGCCCACGCCCGGCCCCCCAAACAAGCCTGTCTATGCCAGACCCCGCCACTTTTTCAATTGACTGGCTTCCTGGCGAGACTGACTAATCAAACGATTTGCTCCCAGGCCCCGCCGCCCGCTCAAAAACTTCGCCCCCCGGCGGCCCCCCAGTCAAACTCTTCCATCCCAGGCCCCCCACCCGTTCAAGTTCCCAGCTCCCAGGCCACGCCGCCCCTCGAAATCCATTGTTGTAGCCCCGCAATTTGATCAATGTCATCTATCCCAGGCCTCGACGCCCATTCCTATCTCCCGATTCCGAGCCTGACTGCCCACTCCAATTCTCTCGCCCCCAGGCCCCCAGGCCAGGTCAGGCCAGGCCTGCATGCCCACGAGGGGCGGCCACGCAGAACACAGGCGGGGAACGCACTGCAGGCTCTGCGGTCGACGCTGCAAACAGGGGCGCGCGAATCAGTTCACGAGGAGGGGGGGCGAGGAGAAGACGAGAAACAAGCACGCACTCACGCGCCGCAGGAAGTTCCCTCCATGCGCCCCCACGCATATGGGCATCCAGCTGCCTCTCTCCAGTCGCCAATCTCGAACTCACGGCAAAATGATCGCACGTCGTCTTCCCAGGTTTTGCTCAGTCGTCCTCGGGGTTCTCTTCCAGCAGGCGACCATTTGAGAACACGCGACACCCACCGACCAGCAGGCAGTCTTGCAACGCAACCAGCGAATCGCCAATATTGGCGCAAGTGAACTTCCGACCACAACTTGAGATGGCGATCGCCCATGATTGCGTACATGCGCTCGTGCCGAGAATGTAGAATACCGCGCCAAGGATTCGATCAATCAATTTTCACCCGGTGGCCCCGTTGATTGACGAAGCAGTTTCCGCCATGCGACGTCAAGTCGATTCCGCTCAGTTGCATAGACCTCGCGGTGTGTTGAAGCAAACAAAGCGATCGGTGTAATAGCTGCCTGAAAATTACCCTGCGACGCACCCAATCCACGTGCATCAAGTGGCAAGAGGAGTAGGCCAACATTAGCAGTAACAACGACAGTGTAGACGCGGTGAACTGCTGCGCAAGCTACATGGGATGCGCATGCGTTGCGCGACTCACAGGACGACAATCGAAAGAACGAGGATTGAGGCCCCAGGCTCGAAGACTAACGGGGACAGGAACGAGGGGCAGGAGAAGGATGGAATGGGGGGGGTAATCTGAATCTGCGTATGACGTCACTCCGCTGGGCCCCCCCAGCAGCCCTCGAAAGTGGCGACAGTTTCGCAGATCGCAGCCCCCCAGGGATGGCGAGGTCGAATCAGAATCTGCGTATGACCCCACTCCGCTGGGCCCCCCAGCAGCCCTCGAAAGTGGTGACAGGTTCGCAGATCGCAGCCCCCCAAGGATGGCGAGGTCTAGTCTGAATCTGCGTATGACCCCACTCCGCTGGGCCCCCCAGCAGCCCTCGAAAGTGGCGACAGTTTCGCAGATCGCAGCACCCCAGGGATGGCGAGGTCTAATCTGAATCTGCGCATGACCCCACTCCGCTGGGCCCCCCAGCAGCCCTCAAAAGTGGCCACAGTTTCGCAGATCGCAGCCCCCCAGGGATGGCGAGGTCTAATCTGAATCTGCATATGACCCCACTCCGCTGGGCCCCCCAGCAGCCCTCGAAAGTGGTGACAGTTTCGCAGATCGCAGCCCCACAGGGATGGCGAGGTCTAATCTGAATATGCGTATGACCCCACTCCGCTGGGCCCCCCAGCAGCCCTCTCAAGTGGCGGCAGTTTTGCAGATCGCAGCCCCCCAGGGATGGCGAGGTCTAATCTGGATCAGCGTATGACCCCACTCCGCTGGGCCCCCCAGCAGCCCTCGAAAGTGGTGACAGTTTCGCAGATCGCAGCCCCCCAGGGATGGCGAGGTCTAATCTGAATCTGCGTATGACCCCACTCCGCTGGGCCCCCCAGCAGCCCTCGAAAGTGGTGACAGTTTCGCAGATCGCAGCCCCCCAGGGATGGCGAGGTCTAATCTGAATCTGCGTATGACCCCACTCCGCTGGGCCCCCCAGCAGGCCTCGAAAGTGGCGACAGTTTCGCTGATCGCAGCCCCCTAGGAATGGTGAGGTAGGAGACAAACTGGCACGCAGGAGCGAGCGAGGTAGGAAGCAGGGGGGAAGAGGAAAGTAGGAGGGGGCGGGAGAGGAGAGGAGAGGAGAGGAGTCGCGACCGCAGCTGCTCTATTCAGAACGAGAACCCAACGCAGGAGGGTTGGGAATAATTGAAGCCAGCTGCTGCAGCGGCGCGCCTGTCCGTCAAAACCCATCGGCTCGCGCAGAACGCCTTCGTGGCGACCTGGAGATTGCATCCCTGATCCCTCTTGGGAACGCCCGTCGACAGCGCGCATCCCAGCCACCCATGGGAACCCGCGAGCTTGAGCGACACGCCAGACGAAAGCACGAGCGTCTCCGGCGGCCGAGCCTCGGCCGCGAGGGCCATCGTTTTCTCCGCGTTCGGTGTCAAGCCCACTGAAGCAAGTTCCTCAACGAGTGATGCGAGAAGGGTTGCGGCCTCGTTTGCAGATTCGGCAATCGTCGGCAAAACGCAAGCCCAATAAACGAAGCAATCCGTCTCCCGAGTGGAACCCTGCAGCTCCGGATTTCTGACGCCAGCGCGCCATGGCCCACTCCAGTAAACTAGAGAATAACCGAGGATTGAGAACACAGCCGCGTCGAACCCCAGCTGAGATGCTGAACTGGTCTCTGCGCTCACTCTGTCCGATCACTTGCCCTGTCTGCTGGTCGCACAACACTTGCAATGTCCAAATAAGGCGGCCCCCTCCCTCGAGGGATCCCCTACGCCAAATGCTGCTCCGCCCGTATAGCGGGTGCGTTGGAATTTGAGTAGCAGTTTTAAGCCTACACGCCAGTCCAAAAGGTGGTATTCTGATTTAGCCGTGGTCGCACATCGCCGTGACAACGATAGCAGAATCCTCTTCCGCCACATCACCCTCGTGATCTCCACCATCGTCATCGATATCGCCATCGACATTGGCATCACCGTTTCAGCCATCATCATATGCATCGTCAGCATCATCATCAACAACAGCATCTTCATCATCACCATCATCATCATCACCATCATCATCTTCATCATCATCCTCATCTTCATCATCATCATAATCAACACCATCATCATCATCATCATCATCATCATCATCAGCATCATCGTCATTATGGGTTCTTATCTTTGCCATTTCTTTCCCTTTCGCCTGATCTCTTTTCTTCCCCACCTACTGTCGATGTGACGGCTGGTGGTGGCGCTTCTGAGTCGTGTGGATCTCGGGAACCCGTCTTTAAGGGCGTGTCATCAGCATCATCATCATCTTCACCATACTCAGCATCATCATCAGCAGCACCATCACCACCAGCATCATCATAATCATTCTCAGCATCGTCGTCATCATCAGCAGCAGCATCCTCATCATAATCATCATCAACATACTCATCATCATCATCATCATCATCATCATCATCATCATCATCATCATCATCATCATCATCATCGTCATCGTCATCGTCATCGTCATCATCATCACCCCGTATCCCTCCTGTCAGCATCCTTCGACCGATCTCCGTCCCCCAGTAGGCCAAGGCTCCTTAGCGCCACCAGCCAGCCTACTGCCAGAGACGGGGATAACGCCGCGAGTCTCGAAGGAGACCGTACATACCCTCACCATGAAGCGGGAAAGGTCGGCCAGCGGGGCCAAGGCTTCCCCAGTGGGAATGGGGATTGGTCTAGAGATGCTGGTCCTCCTCCTCATCATCATCAGCATCATCCTCCTCTTCCTCCTCCTCATCGCCCACATCCCCCCCCCCACACACCGCACCACTTCTCCCCTCCTCCCCCCTCCTCCATGATTCCTTCTTCCCTCCTCCCCTTCCTCCCTCCCTCCTCATCCCTTCTTCCTCCCTTCCCTCCTCCTCATGTTCCTCCTCTTCCTCCTCCTCTTCCTCCTCCTCATCCTCCCTGTCGCACCCCGACGCCGGTCCAAAAGGCTGGCCAGGCGTTTCGCTTGGGATTTCCTTTACATTGATGGTATTGAAGCTTTGATTCGCACATGTTCTGAGGATGGAGGGCGGGTCGCTTTCAAAATGTGGTTCTCGCTTTAGCGCCGCGCACATGCGTTTTAAATGTGGAAGAGTTTCACGGATAAAGGGCGAGCCGTTTTTTTAATGTGGCTATCGCCTTAGCACCGCGCACATTCGTTTTAAGAGTTTGCAACAGTTTCAAGAATTCTCCTGGCTCGCGTCCCGGACATGATTTCGGAACGATGTCAGAATGTCAGGGGGCGTAACAGTCACGCTGATTTGCGGAGTTGAAGTCTCAGTCGTGGTTTTCTGGCACGATTCAGGACCGTCAAGACGCAACAGTAACGGTGATTCGCGGCGTCGAAGTCCCAACAATGGTGCTCTGGCACAGTTCCGAAGTTTAAAACGATTGTCTGCCAACGGGGCAATTCCCCCAGTGAAAATGATTCTTTGTGTGGGGCCTATGCAGAGGAAACTTGAAGGGAGGGTGTATTGCAATATCGTTGATGGGCCTTGGGTTTACACTGGTCCTCCTCCTCCTCCGTTCCACTCCCCCCCCGACTCATCCACCGCTCCACGCTGACGCCCTTCCCTCCCTCCCCCGCTCGCGCCGCGCCCGCCGGAAGGCCACCAAGGCACTGCCGTCGGACCACCAACACATCAGACCAGCCGAGGAGGCCGTGCCTCCAACCAGACGATGGAGGAGGAGGAGGAGGACGAGGAGGAGGAGAGGGAGGGAAGGGACATCCTGCAGCCCTCGTGCGAGAGCGAGGCGGCGGAAGGATGGCTGGAAGGCGTCTGTGTGCTGTTGGTTATTCGGGCCTCTCTTGGGTACGGTAGACCGTAGATTTCAACTCTTCCAGTGAGAGCTTGCCTCGGGTTCGCCCCAGTGTAGTCTTTCGGTGGGAGGTTGAGTTGCCCACTCTACCGTTCCTCTCCATCCTTCCCCTCTGTCTCTCTTTACGTTCGCCTATGCCCGAGCGCTCTGTTGCTCTTTTCGTGTGCGTGACTGTTGGACTCTTCGTGTCACAGTGTCGCAGGGCAAGGAAGGAGGGGGGAGGAGGGGAGATCAGGAGCGTCGACAGGGGGGGGGAGGAGGGGACTGTTTCAAGGGGGGAAGCAGCGAATCCCGAATCGCCCAGTCACGCCAATTGGGGCCTGGTGGGCCCACCAGGCCCAGGAACGTGCGGTTTTGCCATCCCGGGCCTATCGCCGATGTATCACCGATGCACTGCCAATTCTAGGACTCTAGGCCATCGCTTCCCGCCCTGAGCCAGTCCCCCTTTTTTCGTTCCCCTCAGCGGAGTCGGGCGGACGGTATCGCGTCCTGGGTGAGTGAGGCGGGGAGGAGTAGGAGGAGCAAGAGGGAGCAGGAGGGGACATGAGGAGGAGGGGGTAGGAGAAAGAGAAAGATAAGGAAAAAAGAGATGAGGAGGGGGAGGGGGGAACACGGGGAGGAGGCGAAGGAGGAGGCATGAAAAGGAGGGAGGAGGAGGAAGGAGGAGGAGGAGGAGAAGAGGAGCCAGCGCTCAGGCTCGGGTCTGTTCGAGCCTCGCGCGCTCCAGATCGGCCAAGCTGGGCTCCTCCGCATGGGCCAACTCTCGCGTGACCACGCGAAGGTTCACGCCCGAGCGCGCCAGGCGTAGCGTCACGGAGCCCAGCATCTTAGCAGGACACGCAGCCCCGTCTGTTGCGGAAAATGCTTCAAAGGTTGCGTCTTCGGGGGTGGGCCGTTGAGGCTTCCCGAAGTGGACTCGTCAGCACAGTTGGTTGCGCCGCCCCCTCGGGGCGCTGCCAGCGCTGCTCTTATGGGCCGACCGCTCGGGGCCAGAGCTGCCCATGGGATGCGCATGCGACGCGGTGCTCGACAACTTCAGCGAGGGCCAGGAAGGTCGGCGTGATTGGACCCTTGTTCGATTGGATGCGCAGCTCGGCTACCGAGGCACGATAAGGAACAGGAAGAGGACATGGAGGACGAGGAGGAGGAGGAGGAGGACCAGTGCAAGCCCAAGCGTCATCAACGATGTTGGAATTAACCCTCCCTCCAAGCTCCCTCTTCATAGGCCCCTACAACGAACGGTTAATTTCCATTGAGGGAACTGCCTCGTTGGAAGACAACCGTTTCAAGATCCTGGAGCATGCCAAAACATTGTTCTCGGGATTGCAACGCTACGCATCAACCTGACTGATGTGTTTGACGATCCGGAATCGTCCCATAACGCCATGTTCTCGATTTCAACACCGCGAATCAACATAATTGTTGCACCCGCGCATTCCTGAATCATTCCAAAACACCGCTTCTAGCGCGTTAACAATGGGAATCCGTGAAACTTTCGCAAATGTTTAAAACGAATGTGCGCGGCGCTAAGGCGAGAGCCGCATCTTGAAAACCACCCGCCCTCAATCCGTGAAATGCCTGCAATGTTGAACGAATGCGCGCGGCGCTAAGGCGAGAACCACATTTTGAAAACCACCCGCCCTCAATCCGTGAAACTCTTGCGAATGTTTTAGTACGAATGCGCGGGTCGCAAAGGCAAGAGCCACATTTTGAAAACCACCCGCCCTCAACCCGTGAACTTCTTGCAACTGTTGTTGAACGAATGTGCGCGGCGCCAATGCGAGACCCACATCTTGAAAACAACCCACCCTCAATCCGTGAAACTCTTGCCAATTTGTACAACGAGTGCGCGCGGCGCTAAGGCGAGAGCCACATTTTGAAAACGACCCACCCTCACTCCGTTAAACTTTTGCAGATGTTGAAAACGAATGTGCGCGGCGCTAAGGCGAGAGCCACATTTTGAGAACCACCCGCCCTCCATCTGTGAAACTGTTGTCATGGTTGCAGCTTCAGAGTCATAAATGATGAGGAAGTCTCAGGCGAAACGCCCAGCCCGCACTAAAAACTGGCCTCGGGGTGCGACAGGGAGAAGTTATATATAAAGAGAAGGAATGGAGGCTGAGGATGAGGAGTAGGGCCACATGCGGAGCCCACCCACCCCCACTCGCCCGCGCGCGTTTCGCGGCGCGCTCCCTGGGCCAGCTTTACCCGGCGGTGGCCGGCGCCATACCCCCGCGAAGCGATGCTCCGATGTTTGCAGTCTGAACCTCAAAATCTTCAGGCTGAACATCAAGTTGCTGCTCGTCCAGACTTGCAGGCTAAACCTCAAGGTCTACGGGCCGAGCTTCGTGAACTACCAGTGCTACGAGTCCATTCAGGAGGAGAAGAAACACACAGACACAATTAATCGTCGATTCCCCAGAAAATATACGAAAATATGGGCAGTGGGGGAGAAGACAGAAACCTAGAAAATATGGGAAAATATGGGGAACCATTTTATTTGTGTGTATTTATTTGTGTGTCCCTGGGCCCCTTCGTTCATCCCAGTGTCTGCGGAGACCTACGGGCAGACGCCGCGCCGAGATTGAGATCAGAGAGCAGCGGCAGATCTCAAGCGGACGGGGCACTGCGTGAGACACGGGCCCAAGCAAACCCAAAGAAAAGAATGTTCACCATTGCCGCCTACCACGAAGCATCTGGTTGAGCCGACGCCGACAAGCATATGAAATACGACGAGGCGCGCAACAAGCAGCCCGGATTCGAAGAACATGGGCTGCGTGACAAGAAGTAAAGTCCCGAAGACCATCATGGCAGTGGCGACCGCAACCGCGGGAAATACGACCCCGAGATCAGCAAGTGGAGAACGGCAGTTACGACCGCGACCGCGAGTACGGCAACTACGTCCGCGAGTACCGCGATCATAGAGATACCCTCCCGTGGCGCAGACGGCCCCCGACGACCCGACCTTCCAGAACTACGATGGCCTTTTGAGCTACGCGGGGCCCCAGGACTACAGCCACGTAGGCTACGACGGCTGCGCGGCTACAACGGCCACAGCCGTCTCCAGGGCGTCCACACCCCAGGCGAGGTAGGACGAGACTGGTTTCGGCCCCCTCCCCTCAGATTCGGCGCCCGGCAACGAGGAGGAGAGGGAATTACGAGAAGGCGAGGAGGAGAGGGAATTTCGAGAAGGAGAGGAGAGGGAATTACGAGAAGGCGAGCAGGACTGGGCGTGCGACCACCCCGAGGAGGAGAGGGAATTACGAGAAGGCGCTGTGCTACCCGGGGCTTCTTGGGCGACCACGGCACTGGCAGCGCTGCGAGGGCCCCGCGGGCCCGCAGAACTTCCAGGGCGGCACGCAGTGCCACGAGGGCCACAAGCAGGGATTGCAAGGGCGACGAGCAGAGCCACGTGGCACACCGGCAGAGCTGCACGGGCCACCGGCAGGGTCAGGAGGGCCACGCGCCGCATTGGATGGGCAACGCGCAGTGCCTCGGCGGCCACCGCCGGAGCGGCGGGAGACCCCAGCTGAGCCACGGGGACCACACGCTGAGCCACGAGGACCACACGCTGAGCTACGAGTGCCACAAGCAAAGCTAAGATAGCCACCAGCTAAGCGACGAGAGCCACCAGCAGAGCCACAAGGGCAACAACCTGAGCTACGAGAGCAGCAAGAAGAGCTGGCAGGGCCACAAGCAGGGCCACCAGGACCACCAGCTGAACTACGAGGACCACCAGCAGAGCTACGAAGGCTGCAAGCTGAGCTGCGCGGGACACGAGCAAAGCTACGAGTGCCTCCAGCAGAGCGGCCAGCGCCACGAACCGAAGTACAAGGGCCACGAGCAGAGCCCCAAGAGCCACCGCCACAGCTACGAAGACCACACGCTGAGCTACGAGGGTAACAAGCTGAGCTAAGAGGGCCGCGAGCAGAGCTCCGACAGCCTCCAGCTGAGCTACACGGGCCACCAGCTGAGCCACGAGGACCACAAGCTAAACTTCGAAGGCCGCAGGCTGAGATACGAGGGCCCCCAAAAAGGCGACGAGGATCGCCAGTTGAGCTACGAGGGCCACCAGCTGAGCTACGACGACGGCCGCGAGCAGAGCTCTGAGAGCCACCAGCTGAACTAGAGAGTCACCAAGTGAGCCACAAGGACCACAAGGTGAGCTTCGAGGGCCGCAAGCTCAGCTACGAGGGCCACTCGCAAAGCCACGAGGACCACCAGCTGAGCTACGAGGACGGCCGCAAACTGTGCTACGCGCGCAACGGGCTGAGCCTCCCAAGCCTGACTCGCCCGAGGAGAGCGAGGAGAGCGACGAGCAGAACGAGCCCGTCTTCATCATGTACGCCTTACTGGAGAGCTTGGAATTCCTCAGGTCTAAGATGGACGAGGGTGGGGCGATCACGGAGGATTTCCACACCAGAGCCATCGCCAAGCTCGTGAGCTCTGTTCAGAAGAAGTCCCACGACACGACGGTTCCCATAGACATGAGCGGTCTCGGCCATTGCGAGGACGGGGGACGAGATGGTCCGCGAGCTAGGCACTGTTGGAGCCATCATGGCGTTCCTGTCTGAGGCGCACAAGGACCAGATGCCTGCGGGCCAGCGGCCCATCCCGTGCTCCGATAGATGGCGTCGAGGACGGCACTGCCCTCCCGAGCGAAGACATCTGGAAGGCAGGGTGCTATTACTTGGCCAGCGACGACTGGGGCGTCTCTGGCAGCCGAGACCGAGTAGAAGGCGAGACCTGGCCAGCCCGAAATCGGACGACTACGTGAAATGAGAGGGCCGCCACATGGAGCCGCTTGGACTCGAAACAGTGCGTCCTTTCGTTCTCCTCTCTCGTGCAGGCATTGTTTGGTGGCGTGCCTTGGGGGTCCTGTGGGAGGGGGGGCCTTGGTCCCACTCCGGGGTGCTGAGTATCCAGGCCCCCGCGACCGGGCCTAAGCGAGCTACCAGCACGGCTTGAACTAGCACGCTTCGTTTCATTTTTCCCTTCGCTTCCCCTGCGTCTTATCTTGTGAGACTGAGTCCTCCTCTCTCCCTGTCTCCTTCTGGAATGGGCAAACCAGAGCAGCGAATCTCATGGTTGTGCCAGTGGGCACCGGCTTTTTGTTCAGGCGTTCCGTCATTGCGATCGCGTTGGAGCGGTGCGAGAGAGAGAGGAGGAGGAGGAGGAGGAGGAGGAGGAGGAGGAGGAGGAGGACAAGGAGGGAGAGGGAGGAGAGGGAGAAGAAGAAAGAGTAGGAAGAGGAAGAATAGGAGAAGGAGGGGAAGGAGATGGACGGAGGAGGAGCTGGAGGGGGAGGAAGCGGAGGAAACGAAGGACGACGACGACGACAATCAGGAGGAGGCAGAGGAGGATGGCTTGAGCGCGCCCGCCCAGGGTGCTCCTCTGGAATCGCCCCCGCCTGGCGCTATGGCCTTCGGCCACCAGAAGACGGTGAAGTCGAAGGAGCCCTCTGCACGCGGGGGGGGGGGGGGAAGGGGAGGGAGCCAACCCCGAGATCCGACGTGGAAAAAAACATACAACATCGCCAAAAATTGCGACAGGGAGCCTTAGATCCCATCTTTCCGCAGCATTTCTCGAGTCGACCTATCTGCAAGGGCCCCGGGACCCAGGGCCAGGCGAAAATGCCAGGTGCCAAAAAAAAACGACGCCCGGATCTCATGGAAGACCTTTCATCGCCGCGACAGACAGCACGACTGGCGCTTTTGTTCTCGATCCTGGCCTCTGGAGAGCCGCCCTCGGAGCCCCAGAACCAAAACATGCGGCCCGCAAGGCTCGCCAGCCGAACGGGAGGTGAGGGGCCGTCCTTGCCGCGCGCGCAGTAAGGACCCAGTACCCCCACTTTCGGGGGACGTTAACTTCCAGGCCCCCCAAGATGGGGTTCGAGAAGGTGGATCGCGCCACATTGCCGATGCATCGTCGATGCGGCTCGATGTGTAGGCCGAGCTTCTCCACGCCAACGTCTCCGACGTATCGCCAATCGGCGATGCGGCGCTATCCACCAGCCCCGTGTACTTCGACCCAATTTTAATGGCCTCTACAGCTGACCACCGCACCAATCTTGGCCAAACCGATCTTGGGCTCGGGATCGCTGTGCTGAGAGTGTGTTTTGCTTGCCGTGCTTTATGCCTAAGATGGCGTCGTGAGCGCTGAAGGGCGCGCCAAGACGGCCCACCAGCGCCTGAAGATGCTCCCAAGGCGGGCCAAGAGATCCCTAGGAGAGCCCTCCGAGGGTCCGAAGATGGCCCAAAGGAAGTCTCAATGGGCCCAAACCGCCCAAGCGAGAGAGAGACAGAAGCAGAGACAGAGACGCGAGGCTGCCCCAGAGTGCCCCCACGAAGCTCTTCGACGCTTCAGAACGGCCCAAGAGGTCCTGAACAGGCGCCCCAGAGGCACCTGGGAGGCCCCCAGGAGCCTTCCAAGAGGCGTCCGAGACGACCCCACAGAACTTCAAGGGAGCCTAGGACAGCCCCCAACGGCTTAGAAGACTCCAAGACGGCCCCAAAGCCTCAAGAGGCTGGAAGAAGCGCACGAGGGACTCTCAATGGCAGAGTAGGTAAACGTGGAGGGAATGTAGAATAAAGAGGAGGAGGAGCAGGAGGAGGAGGAGGAGGGTTGTGTTGCCTCTCTCTCTCTCTCTATTCGTAAGGGCTTCGCCCCCTGCTCCCGGCCCCCATCTTTCGGATAATGGGCAATGCAAGAGCGAAAGCATGAGGCCTTGCGCGCCGCCGTGAAGCAGCGTCGGGACTTCACGCGAAGACGATGAGTAATCGGCAAGACAAATTGAGATGATGATGATGATATTATTGGATTTAGTGTTGTACTTCGAGCTTGCTCGCGTATGCTGGTCAAAAATCTCTTCTACGAAGTATTGAAATGTTGTAAATCCCTTGTGTGTTTTGACCCTGACCCCGCCGATCTGCGTGAGGGGTGCCACCGAATTTCAAGACATGTCGCAAATCCATGTGTTTGTCAACCCTGATCCCGCCGATCTGCATGAGGAGTGCCACCGAATTTCAGAAATGTGGCAAATCCTTTGTATTTTTTGACCCTGACCCCGCCGATCTGCGTGAGGGGGGGCACCGAAGTTCAAGACATGTGACAAATCCCATGTGTTGTTCGACCCTGATCCCGCCGATCTACAGGATGGGTGCCACCGAATTTCAGAATGTTGCAAATCCCTTGTGTGGTTTGGACCCTGATCCCGCCGATCTGCGTGAGGGGTGCCACCGAATTTCAGAAATGTGGCCAATCCCTTGTGTTCTTGGATCCTGACCCCGCCGATCTGCGTGAGAGGTGCAACCGAATTTCAGAAATGCTGCAAATCCCATTTGTTTGTAGACCCTGACCCTGCTGATCTGCATGAGAGGTGTCGCCGAATTTCAAAAATGCAGCAAAATCCCATTCTGCGTTGTTCGATCCCTCGACCCTGGCCGATCTGCGTGAGGGGTGCCGCCGAATTTCAGAAATGTGGCAAATCCCATTGGTTGTTCGACCCTGATCCCGCCGATCTGCGTGAGGGGTGCCGCCGAATTTCAGAAATGTGGCAAATCCCATTGGTTGTTCGACCCTGATCCCGCCGATCTGCGTGAGGGGTGCCGCCGAATTTCAGAAATGTGGCAAATCCCATTGGTTGTTCGACCCTGATCCCGCCGATCTGCGTGAGGGGTGCCGCCGAATTTCAGAAATGTGGCAAAGCCTATGGGTTTGTTCGACCCTGACTCCGCCGATCTGCGTGAAGGGCGCCACCGAATTTCAGAAATGTGGCAAATCCCATTGGTTTTTCGGCCCTGACTCCGCCGATCGGCGTGAGACGTGTGAATGTCACCCCCCCCCAGAAATTCTGAGACCCCTCCCAGGAGACGCTAACTAGGCTGATTTTCGGCTCCCCCCCCTCGCGCGGTCTACAACAAGGAACAGTAATACAACAAGAAGCAGAACTATCACATTGGAAGCTGGAACCTGCAACTGGCGCAGGGAGCAGCAAATATTTGGCCTACAGCCTTGTTGCCCAAAAAGGGTGCCTGCGGATGTGTGTATATATATATATATATATATATGTACACACACCTGTACACGTACAAACATACAGACATACAGGCATGCATACATACATACATACATACATGCATATTTGAATGTGTATACATATATATATATATGTATAGATACATAGATCTATACATGTATATATATAAATATAAATATACAGTTGTGGATCTATAGTTACATACATATATATATACATATATCGTTCCCTATCTCTCTCTCTCTCTCTCTCTAGCTCTCTCTCTCTCTCTCTCTGACTGCCCCTCCTTCCCATGTCGATGCCAACCATATGTCTTGCCTTGTCCTCCCTTCCCTCGCTGTCCGCGCGGCTTATCCCCTCGTCCCCTTTTCCCTCCTTTCCGCCGGGCTCGCAGCGCCCTTGCGCAGCGGAGGCCACCTACGTCACGGGAGGCGAGGCGGAGGTTTACAGCTCCACTCAGGAGGGGACGCGGCAGGGACCGACTGGCACGGCTCGGGAAAGGCGGGGAGTAAGAGGAGGGCAGCGAGGCGGAGGAACAAAATTCGATCGTTAGGGCTCGGTCTCAAAAGAGTTGGTGAAGGCATTCAAGGCCGATTTCGAAGGCCTAGGTTCAGTTTTCCAAGCTCTGTCCTGATCTAGTCCTTTGAGAGGGTTTGTTTCTAACCGGAGTTTCGAACGTGTTTGCCCCGGCAGGTTGCAAGTTGATGATGCTCGTCATGTGCAGGGCGACGTTTCGGCTTCGCCAGGGTCCCCATCCAACCCTGGCACTGCACACCGAATGCTTGCGATGCAAGACAGCACGAGTGCAATGTAAGCCCCGCACCAGCTGTTCGTATCTAATCGCTGCGCTCATTCCGCTGGCCCATTTCGCATCATGGTGGTTGCATGGTGGTGTGTTCGTACCCATGGGGAACTGTAGGGCAGGCAAGACTATCTTCGAGGTGATCTTTGGAGATATGGCTCGCAGAGCTCCAGCAGAGTTTCGAGACGTACCTGGGTGGTGGGTCAGAACCCTCTTGGATGCTTCTTGGGGTCTCTTCGGAGGGCTCTCAGGAGCCTCTGGGGAGGAGTTTTCAAGCCTCTGGGGAGCCTCTTGGGGGCTTCTTATGAGCCTTTGGGGGCTTTCTGGGGGCCTGTTGGGGGTCTTGAGAGCCTCTTTTGAGGCCGCTTGGGGGCCTCTTGGGGCATCTTGGGGGGGCTCTTGTGGGGCTCTGAGGGCTTCCTGGGCGCCTTTTGGAACTGAGAGCTCGAAGTGTCTGCTTGGGTTTCCCCCTCTGGGCCCCCTCTTGGGGCCATCCTGGGGCCGTGTTGGAGGCCTTTTGGATTGTCTTGGGGCCATCTTGGGCCATTTGGGCGCCCTCTTGGAGACTTTTGAGGCCGTCTTGGAGCGATCGTGGGGCCTCTCGGGCCGTCTAGGGCGGCCCGCAGCTCGAAAAGACGGTACCGCCAAAATCGTCCGAAAACCGAGCGAAATCGATAATTGTTTGCGTCTTCGGAGCCTTTCGAAGTCCTTTTCGAACTCTCCTGGAGCTTCTTGGGCGCTTCGTGGGCCGTCTTGGGACCAACGTGGGGCATTTTGGAGCGCTCTTGGCCTGAGGCCACGGGGCGTGCAACCCTTTTGGCGCCTCATTGGGGGCGCTCGAGAGGCCCCCGAAGCCGCGCCCAGGAGTTCCGGCATCTCTGGCCCGACCCTGCCGGGGACCCCCAGGGGCCGCCGAGCGCGAGCGAACTGCTGAGCTCTTACCAGAGATTTCAGCACGCATCTGGCCCGTTGGGTCGGCGAATTCGTTGGAAGCTTAAAACCAGAAGGCGGTCTTTGCTTTCCTGGGGGACTAAGCGGGACGCCCACTGTCCAGGGCCTACGCAGAGGGAGGAAACAGCCTCGCCGGCCCCCCCCTCCCTCCCCTCCGGCCCTCCTCTCCTTTGCCAGGCCGACTTTGCGTAGGGAGCAGCTGGGGGGGAAAGCAGGAGGAAGGGTCACCGAGCGCGTTCCACCACTCGCAAAGTGCCTACTCGCAGACGTCCGAAAAAAACACGTGTCTGCATCGATGTAATGTTTTGTAAATCATCCATGGCGGATGCAGGCCATTTGCGAGCAGTTCCTTTGCGAGTAGTGGAGCGCGCTTGGCTAAAGACGGGGGAGGGAGGAGGGAGGGGCCAGCTTGGAGGTCGGTGGCCCTGGGAGGCCCCGAGGAGACGTGGCAGTCCAGGAGGGGCCCGAAGGCGGCGCAAGAGGGCCCCGACGGTCGGCACGAGCCCAGGAGGTTCCCAGGCGTGCCCCTGAGAACACGGTCGAGGGGTCATCGAGGACGCCCGTGATTCGTCTCTGCCCTCGAGCCAGCATGTTCTCCTGTCCTCTCCCCCCCCTTGCCATGGCCCTTCCCGTTCCTCCTAACTCTCCTCCGCAAGGTCCGTTTCGATCCGATCGATATCGATATCGACAGTCCCGATCCGATTCGATTCCGATATTCGTGTGTTCGCGATCCGATCCGATTCGATCCCGATCCTATGCGGCCCGGTGTTCGCATGGTGTTGTTGTTGCATCCTGGCGCAGCCGATGCGACGCGATTTCGGCTCGGTCTAGATGCAGCCCGATCCGACGCACTTTACAATCCGATCCTACTTCCGACTCGATGCTGACTGATCTTGCCCCTCCCTCCCTCCCCCCCTCCCGAAACAGGCAAATATGACAGCCCCCATCCATCATCCCTCGCTCCACCCCCGTCCTTCTCTTCGCTGCGGGGCTCGCTCCCAGAGCGCGGCGAGGCAGCGTCGGAAGCGCGGTCGCCGCACGGCGGCAGCGGCGCGTGCGGGCCGTAGGGTAGGCCGATGCCGTCGCGGAGAGGCTCGCGAAGGAAAAGCAAGGTGTGCAGGAGCTTCTGGCGAAGCTTCAGGCGGTCGTCGGCGAGGGCTCCGAGCCCTGGGCGCTTCCTGCGATCGCGGGCGAGGTGCCGACCAGGGCGCAAGAGCTGCGCGGTGCGACGCGGCCTCACGCGGCTTCGACGTCCGGGCGAGCGTCTTGGAGGTGGCGTCACAGTCCGAGTGTGTCACCGTCGAGCTTGTCATCGTGATGATGTGTCCGCCCCCCCTCCTCCCCCCCCAAACTGCGCTACAACAACAAGATCCGAGCTCCACTCCATCCTTTGGCGGTCGAAGATGCTGGAGGTGATGCAGCAGGCGGACCCAACGGCGCGCCCAGGAGCTGCGGCAGAATGGTCCGTTCAATGTGGAGGGAGTGTTTTTGACAATGTTGTTGCTGCTGCTGGTCTCGCAGTTGAAACATGCTGATGCTAGAGTGCCAGGCCCCCGAGGCCTCCAACCCAAGTCAACACCGTAACGCAGCGTTGCGTCCGATTCGAAGGCACATTTTTCACGTGGTGCATGAGGCAGGCGGCTGGCAACGCCTATCGCTGGGTTGCGTGCTCCCCGTTCCTCAGGCTAGCTACTGTATACGTGATTGGTCGATGTGTAGCGCATGTCAGTACAAACCGCGCACACACATATGAAAACGATTGAGTTCAGCACAAGCAAAATAAGAAGGCGGATGCTGTTCGCGCAACACGTGCGCAAGCAGCTTGAGACAGTGATCGTGTCACTGTAGATCTCGCTCTCGCCTGGCGGAGCGTAAAGGGAGGAGAGTAACGCACTGAAAACTTATGATGCTGCTGCTGCGCCCTCCACATACTGTGAAGCAGCAGCAATCGCGAAAGCGTGCACTACCAGGAAGCTGACAACGCGGGCGAACGTATCAGAGACTGGCAGGCATTGGAACGGAAGGCTCGCGAGGTCGCAGGCCAGGGCTAGGGGCATCCACAACAGCCAGAGCCCTTTTCTGTAGCCCTGGGTCAACTTCGGGAGCTCCGAAAACTTTTTCACGAAGAGGTCAGCTTCTTCGGGCCAAGCCGATATGTCCGTCTCGGGCAGTAACTGTTGCTGGATGGACAGGATATGCTTCGGGACCCCGCTGTGCTCCAGGTCTGCGGGTATCACCCCACGGTCCTTGAAATTGTCACGCACGGTCAAGGGATAGATACCGTTTTCGCCACTGCAAGCGCGTGCACGTGGGGCTCGCGTAGCTGCCTGCCGTGTGCTGTTTTTGTTCTGCTTCAACTGCTTCTGGAGGTCGTCGATGGTCTTCTGCATCTCCTTCATCGTCGCCTGGCATGCAGAAAAACTAGATAGGTCATCGTCTGCGTTCGGCTTTTGCAACTGCGCGAGCATTTTCCGCATAGTCACAGCGTCCATTTCCTCGTCCTCTTCATCATCGTCGTCCTTCTTCTTCATGATCGTGTTGTCCTTCTTCTGCGCCCCCTGGAACTTCTTCTAGTGATTCCGCATCTCTTTTATCGTCATTTGGTTTTTGCTGGAGCTGGTCGATGATCCTGATAGGCTAGCGGATTCTGCGCTGGTCGTAGAGCTGTTATTTCTCAGAATTCGCCCACTGGCTCAGGAAACTTAACGGTGACTTCCTATATTTCCCACACCTATTATATTTCTTTCTCTTCTCGTCGATGGTGCGCTTCACCTGCTTCTGGGATAGGCCCATCACCGCGCCCATAGCACTGGCAGATGTCTTCCTCATCATACTCATCGTACGTTTCCGTTCAGCCTTAGCTGTTCGCTTCTGCTCATTCTGACTTGCTGAAATTCCGTCGCGTCGTTCAAAGCGTCGTGCAGGTAGGCTGCAGCTCGCGGGTCCTGTCGGGGATGATGCTGGTACTGGTTCTGGTAGCCCTGCGCCGGGCGATGCCCTCCTCCAGGCCTGCACTGCTGGCCGCCGCCGCCGCTCGACCCCGAGGGCCGCCAGCCCTTCATGGCTGCCGGGCGTCCAGCCGTGGAGGAGGCTGCGCGAACTTCGCCTGTCAGCTAGGTCGCTCTAGGCGCCATGCACCTGACGATCGCTCACCAGAGGTGCGCTTCGAAGCCAAAGCGCCCGCGAAAATGGAATCGACAACGGATCGGATATCCTGGATTCGGCCTTGAGCACTAGCCACCAGTTTTTCATACTGCGAGTATGACCGAGCCAGTTCTCGCCCCATTCTCCGCAGGACGCACATGCACGATGACGCATGTCTCCTGGGAATGCTACAAAGGCCTTTCCCGACGATCTGGATGGGCCAGGCCTGCAAGAGGACGTCTGTGAGCACATCTGCAGTGGCCTCACGAACTCGCAACGGGTGACCCTGAGACATCGCATTGAACGCGATTGCTCTTTCCCAGATGCGAGGGTTGAGGAGGCGAGGGTGGAGCAAGTGGTGGGCGCTCCAATAATTGGGGAATTTCGCATAATTGCAATTATCACGCGCACATGTCGTGCACTTCATACTTAGCTGAAAACACATGACATTCAAACTCATCACCTTTAGGAACCAACAAACATTGAAGGTAATGCATGGGCAAATGCGTTCCTTCATTCGTGATGCCAAATTCTGGGGGAAACAAACGCTGCAGACCCTTAAA